AAAATGTCCATTTATTCAAATTATGCTTTTCTATTATAGCAAACCATAGCCTCCTCATTTTCAGGAGCCAGTGAACAGGATGAACTGATGCACTGCTGATTTATTTGCTTCAATCTCTTGTCAAGCAGCAGCTGTTTGTTTCCATGTATCTATAAAACCATTGCCCATTTGCCTTTTCTGCCTATCTGTGTCTGTTCCTGCAAGTGGCATGCTGTGAACTGTAGCAGCTTGGATTTGAAAATGTTTTAGAATGCTTCATGAGAACGTTTATGTACAATTACAGTAGCTTACTGAATTTTCTGGCTCCCTCCATTGTAGGAACTAATTTCTCATTTCCATCCTGGTAGCAGGTTATGTATTCTTAAGAGATTGAAATCCCACGGGATATTCATATCTCTATTGTAAAGGCTAATCTATATTTAGGCAACACATATTATTTTTTTTCTACCCTCTATATGGGTATCAAATAAGCCTATTAGTTTTAAAGTTTCTGAGCAGGTATTTCAGATACTTAAGTCACTGAGATACTGTTCTATTTGTCAGCTTAGCAACAGGCAGACTAGACTTCAAGAAAATTATGTGGAACCTTAACCTAGTCATTTCTAAACTAGAACAATGAGGCAAAGTCTTTCGTTAGAGGTGGGCTGGATCTTAGCAGTTAATTTTTACTTACTTAAAAAGTCTTAAAATATATGTTTGATTGTCACAGTCTTACTTTAGTTCTAATGCTGTGCTGGAGAATAGGCTTACTTCTAATTCACATTATTTTCTTTTTACGTAAAAAGGAACAGAGGAAATCACTGTGCTTTGATTGTGGTACTGCAGGTTATTATCATTATTACTGCAGTTTAGTAAGATCTAGAAAGCTCTTTTCAATGCTTTGGGCTATCATGTGGCAAGCATTCCTGAGACTTCCAGAAAAATGTCGGCTTCAGGGTATGGCTTTGGTTCTGTCATCACCAATACCTGTTAAATGTTAAATGACTGCTTTTCTTTGGATGTTGCAGTGGACAGTCTGTTGGTATCCTTCCTTTGGAAATTTCAGAGATTAGACTGTGAAGTGTTAGGTTCTGTAAGCAGAAATATCCGTGCTGTTAAGTCAGTCATATGGGTTTGGGGGTGAAATACTTGTTGGAATTAACCTGTTGTCTGTGCTTCAGTGTTTGGGCACAAGTATGTTAAGAAGACTACTTTCCTCCTGAGAAAGTGGTTGTGCATCCACATCACCATCTAGCTGTTATGAAGGTTACTGTCATACCAGCACGTGAGTTTTCATGCTTTGACATGCATCTGTATACTACACCTACTTGGAAATCTCCATCAATTTTTTGAGTGTATTAACTAATGATTAAGAAAGCAGGATTTAGAAAGTTAGAGGATTTGCTTGTTCAGAGAAGGAAGTTTTTTGAATTTTTTTTGTAGTGGTGGCACAGATTCTTTTGTTTTCCAGATAGACAAAAGTGGACATTGGGGTGTTCTTAAGAAAGCTCTGAAATCCTTAATGATGCTTTTCTTCCATAGCACTGTGTGCCTACGACCTTTTGTCTGGCTTGGAGACTGCATTTAGTTATAGCGGGAGACAGTGCAGCCACAGTACACACTGCTTTCTAGCTGGATGACAGTGTTATTACCTCTTTGGCTCAAAGCCATCTGCTCATAAGAAACTCCAACTATTTTCTAGCTACCAAAAGCTCATCACAGCTATTCTGTTTTCTAAATTGGCTCACCATGGAATGCCACATTAAATGTCTATTTCTGAAATGTTATTTTGGTTTAAGAATACTACACCCCAGGCAAAGTGTGCTCTTTACAGCAGGCATACAGGGAACAGAACTGTTGAGAGATCTAAAGTTACAGAAGAAAACTTGAGAATGAAAACTTGAAAATTTAGAGCTACTGCAGAATTCAGTATTCTGCTCAAAAACGCAAATGTGTGAATTTGCCCTTGCTTGCATTTGCTATCAGCAAATGTAGTACAACATGGCAGGAGCAGATTAAATACAAATTAATAAAAAATAGCAAACATCCTTGGATACTGGAACAAAATGATAACCTTTATTTGTTAGTCTGTGGATTCATTAGTGGTATCCGTGAGTGTTGTAAACTTATGAAATTCCAAAAGATGAAGAACTATGCAGGAACTGGATATGAACTGGATAGAAAAAGTAAGTTAGGATTAAATGTTTCTTTAGAACTTCAGGTGTTTCAAACAATCTGTTGTAAGAGAAAGCTGTTTTCATGAGATATTTTATCTTCTTGCAATGAAGCATCTAGAAGATGCAGGGAAAGGAATGAGCATGTGGGTAGAATCTTGAGGGAACATAAATCCAGCTGGTATCATTAGGAAGAAAGTGCATTTAATATTCCATGTGTAGATCTTAATGCATTGTAAGATCTGCTTGCCTAAATTCATTGCACTTTTATTTTGCTACAGTCTGCAACAGTTGACAAAAAATGCAACAAATGACAAAAAATATTTCAAATCAATTTTTACAGTAATCCATGTAAAGAAAGCACACATTGTTGAAAGACTGATGTGAACTAGGGGAAGTGCTTCTAAAGTACTAACATTTCTAAGTACTAAGCACAAGTATCTCTTGAAATTAAGATGTTAACAAACTGAAATAAAAATTTACCTTCAGAGACAAATGTGTATAATTTCAATGTGTTTTAACACTCAACATATTAGTCTCTATTTTCTGCTTGTGCTGGAGTGAAAATAAAAGGTACCTGAAATAAGGATGAGCTTTGAAGGAATTTGGAATATTTATCACAGAATCACAGAATTGTAGGGGTTGGAAGGGAGCTCCAGAGATCATCGAGTCCAACCCCCTGCCAAAGCAGGTTCCCTACAGCAGGTCGCACAGGTAGGCATCCAGGCAGGTCTTGAACATCTCCAGAGAAGGAGACTCCACCACCTCCCTGGGCAGCCTGTTCCAGTGCTCCGTCACCTCACTGTAAAGAAGTTCTTGTGCAATTCACAATTCTAATTCATAGCTACATTTTTTTTCTTTAGTTTTTATTGTGGCATTTTTAATTGCAGCACAGTGATTTGCTATCTTGTACTATTTAAATCAAACTTCTTCATCTTTCTTCTAAGATCTGTTTATATCAACTATTTTTTTTGAGACTCAGAATTATCACATTCATTTTGAAAAGTGTGCCGGGGAGAACATTGGAGAGTGCTTGCAAGCACACCTCTTATTTTATGTGAACTTCTGAAAATTGCACAGCTTTTGGGTTTTTAGCAGGTGTTCTAGAATAACATTAATTTCATTAAAAAGGTAAATTGGAGCATTTACTGTCACATTTGTTTAGTGTTAGGAGTGAAAACAGTTTCTATATATGAAGTTTTCAGAATTAGTTTATTTCCAGTTCTTTTAATCAAAATTTTCAACGTTTCAGCCTCCTTTCAGCAGTGTTGAAATATGTAGCATGCTCCATATAGTGCCTTATATTTGTTTCCATGAAAAACTGCAACAGATACAAAGAACACAATAAAACTATTTGATATTGCAAATTCTCAGCCACAAAACACTGTTTTTCAAGAGTCCCTATTAGCTATGCATTTTAACTGCTCATGAACATGAGCCTGCATGCTGCATTTGTAAACACACGCACCAGTGTGGGTGACCTGCTGTTGCCACTGCCAGAATACACCATGCACTGCCTCACTGTCCTCACATTCATTGTTTGATCTCCACAAACATTCAGCAAGTGTCAGTGAATGTCAGTGGGTGCCATTTTTTTCCACATGGAGGAATTCATTGACACCATTTAGTCAGTGTCCCTCTGCTGCCATCTGCCTCATCGTAACAACACGTAATGGAATATTGGTGGGAAGGTTCAGCCTGTACTGACAAACCGCCAGCATCTGCCTATGACATCCTGGGGCAGTATCATAAAGTAGGAGGCATTACTTTCGGAGCAGCGCTGGTAAATAGAATTAGAGAAGAGGTTGAAAAGGAAAGATGGGCTGCCTTGCAGGGTTGGAAGCACACTGTTCCATAATGCGTGTACCTGTGAGCTTGTGTGTACTCCCTGAAAATGCAAGGATAAGCGCCGTGTCCTGTGTGACTGTGCTCAGCGTTGTTTTCACCTTTGTGGCTGCAGCTGCGGCCTGCTCTTTCAGCGTGGCCCAGGGACCCTATTCTTGTTGTTATTTGCTTTCTTAACACAAGCTCAAGTGTTGGTGGGATTCTTTCTGATCCCCTGCCAATGTCTTTTTGAAATCCATTGCTGTTCTGCCAGCCCACCTTCCTAAAATGGTCTGTGTTGGAGCTAAACAAATTCTAGACTTAGCTTGATTGAAGGAATGAGGGTTAAAATTGCCCTTTGCAATGACACCTGTCTTTCACCTTGTGTCAAATGTAACAGGAAATTATAATAGTGAACTTACTTAGATGCTGCACTTAAACAGTACTGATTTTATTTTGTTTTGTCTTGCTCAGTCTTTGTGATTTCTTTGAAGTTTTTGCTTTCTTTGTTGCTGTGTTTAAGATTCTTTACATCCCTTCTAATTGTCCGGGTAATTGGCTATGAAGAAGAAGCAGAGGAAATAAATCAGAAAGAATGTGAACCTCTAGATTAGGGCTATAGCTATCCTTTTTTCTTTTTTCACTTTTCTTTGCATAGCTCTTCTATTAAAAGAAGATAAATCTAAAGCTTTACATTGATACTATGTTTCGTATACAATTTGGATTTAGAGAAGGAAACCTGGTCGTAATAATGTAGGATATTAAATTATATTTGGACAGTGTGCATTAGAATTATAATTTTTCACTGTGAAGGAGTAAAAATACTTAATGATATGCACTATGTGGAGATTTTATCAACTGTTTGACCATTGGCCATTGAGGTTTTCCTTTACCATTTAAAATCCTAAATAGATTATCTAATGTTTTCAGGAAATATTAGCAGTGGATAAAATGTTTTAGTGTTTGACTTTCACTTGAAATTGAATTTAATCTAATGTTTATTTTCATTCTAATTTATTTAAGGTCCTATCGAATTTGAGGAATGTAATACATCCAGTGCAGTTGAAGGTGAGTTATTCTAGCAGTTATTTGCAGTACGTAGTATCTGAAACTGAGGAGCAAACGGTAAATGGCTTGTGAATGTATTTAACTTGAAAGTATTTTAGCAGGCTAAAAAGCAGTTATTATTTTGAGAAACAAATTTAAAAGAAAATAAGACCTACAGTAATTTTTTATAAGCCTAATGCATCATTGTCAGAGAATGTTAATGTTTATTATAAATGTACATTTGCAAAGACCTTACGTTTTGAGAGGTTTGGATTTGGTTCAGTTATGTCTGTGTAACTTAATTTACGAGTGTCAAAATATGGCTCAGGCTCTTTCCATTGTTGTCATGTTTGTTGTACCAATTTTAATGCAGTGTTATGGTCGCAGATCCTTCCTTTGTTGGTGTAACTTATTTTACTTAGGGAATTGTTTAAAGTGGTTAAGAACTGTTTTATTTGCATATGTATTTAGTCTTGGAGCAGAGGAGCTGACAGAATAGCTGTACTGGCCGACAGTTCTGAAGTTGCCAAGGTTGCAGCTGAGACATAAAGCTTTTTTTTGACTGAAATAATGGGAATCCCTGTCAAGAAACAATTCCAATATTCTATTTGTTGTTGTTTTGAGCTGGATATGAATGTCAGACTAACATTTTAAAGTAATTTTGGAGCTATCTGTGCCCCTGTGGAAACATAAGATACAGCTAAGTTTGCAGCTACCTGATTTCAGAAATTTTGAAGTATTTCACCCATAAGTTTTCCAGGAGTGGAGAGATTCCTTATGTGCTGCGTACGGAAGTCACTCCAAAAGTAATGCCTCCGATTTATTTCCATGGAAACTACATCAGACACTAAGAGCACTGTAACACTATTTGATTTGGCAAATTCTCATCTACAGAACACTGTTTTTCAGGAGTCACACCTATTAGCTATGTATTTTCACCACTGATGAACATGAGCCTGCATGCTACACTTGTAAGCATCTGCACCAGTGTTGGTTACCCATTTGCCACTGCCAAAATGCACCATGCACTGCCTCACTGTCCTCACATTCACTGTTTGATCGCCATAAATGTTCAGCAAGTGTCAATGAATGTAAGTGGGTTCAACCTCTACTGACAAACCACCAGCATCTGCCTCTGATATTCTGGAACAGCAATATTAAATAGGGGGCCTTACTTTCAGAGCAGCCTTTGTAGTGTATTTCTATGAAGGAAAGTTTAATGTTATTTTAATGATACACTTGAACTATCAGTTTTAAAATTTTTAGGAAGTAAACTGTGTCCACCTTTCTTCTCAAAAGTTTGTTGCAGGCAGTGTATTAAGTCAAAACAAAACTGTAGACTCATTGGATCTGATCTTTGCACTTAGCTAAACATTTTGTTTAAAGTGAGACAGAATACTTAGCTGCAGCAAAAAAAAAAAAAGTAAGGAGAGAAGCAGAAATGGCAGTGATGGAATATTGAAATGTGTTTTGATTTTAGCATGTTAAATGGTTATGAATAAGAACTTTTTTTCTGTACTGCAGTTAGGTATATGTAACCATGCTAAAAGTGAGACAAAAAAGACGGGAGGGGAGGCATGACCCCAGACTCAGTACTAGCAACAGCACTGGAAAGTCATGAAGTCAGCAGAAGCAGGAAAGCCAAGTGATGTTCACTTTTTTATGGACAAAGATCCTACTTCTTAGGAGAATCGGTGGCTTGCAGCAACTAGGGTCATTCAGGGAAGTAAGAGCTGGGTTTTGAAGTGCAGTGCTGATAGAGGCAGATTTGGCTTCTGATCCAAGTGCTATTCTGTCCATGATTCTGATCCATGACTATTCAGCTGCAGAAATAGCTCCTGTTGAGTTTCTGTGTGTAGACTCCCTTTCTTCAAAACTAGCAGTGCTTCAGTCTTTTGTAAAAGAGTTAACAGTCTAGCATACTGAACATTGAGAATTGTACAGTAGCAGTGTGTTGCCTTAACTGTATTTTGATTTATTTTTTTTTTATTTGTGTTTTATTAATAGCATATGGGGAAAATATTGCAGATATTTTGTGTTTCCTTTGTTTCGCGCGGTACAACTTCCATCGCTGTCTGTTTGTATGAATCATTATATCACTGTTCAGAAGGTGTTCATAGTGATGAGCACCAGTGTTTGGCGGTGCTAGATGCCTTCTCTTTGATCTTTAAATGGTAATTGCTTTGTTTTGCAGGAATAAAACCAAGGAAGAGGAAGCCTTTTGGTTTATCAGGAATAATGAAAAAAGAAAAAGATACTGAATCTGTGTAAGTGTATTTCCAGCTTGAAGTTCTGTCTTGCATGAAAACCTGCGCAAGTATGGAGTGAGCTGATGTTTAATGAAAGTTGGTGTTACAACATGTTTAGAAGAGTTCTGACAATATGAGAATGTCATAGATATTCACAATTTTTTTAGCTATTTAAGCTTTTATTTTATTTTTCAGGAAATAATTTTTTAAGTTAATTTTTTTAAGTGCTGAAAAAATTAATTACCTAAGATTTGATTTTTTACATGTATGAAGTGTCCTACAGATATTTTTCTTTTTGTGTTTAACTTTAACAGTTATGTACTTCAAAACTGTGTTTTTTCTTTTTGCTGTGAAGATGTAACTAAAGCTCCAGGCTGTCACATGTTTGAAGTCATCCCTCTGTATTTCCGTTCTGTGATTTAGTCCTTCCTCTGCACTCTCTTCGGTATTCTCTTATGCTGAAGTAAATGCTGAGATAAATATATACAGTATGGTTTTGGTCAGCAGAAATTTAGGAATACAATTACAAAGTATGAGGATTTTTTTTACGGTTTAGTTTAGAATACTTAGAGTGTTATAAATATTTGATTATATTAGTGTTTTAAGTAGTTTTTGTACATGTTTTAGAAATTATAATCTCTGTAAAAAGTGATCTACTACACATTTTTGGGATGCTGGACTTGCAACTTTGAGCAGCAGTATGCTCATTCATTTGCCTTTCATTCTTTGCATTTACCTAATTACAAAGTTGTGATTCTGCATATTGAGTTTTGAATCCTGTTATATGATTGAACTTTGTAGTTTTCCAACAACAAAAAAAAACCCTGCCACTAAATGAGTTATTACACAAGCTGATCTCTTGTCATGTATGTCATTAACTTGCTTGCAAACCAAGCATCTCCTTCCATTCATTCTTCGTCAGATACGTTTAACCTGCCTCCAGGAAAATTTAAGACTTACTTTCTGGAGCCAGTAAAGATCAGGAAGCTCCAGATTCATTTATCTCAGATGTATCCTTGACCCATAACAGAAGAAAATTTTCATGGTTCAGAATGCTTGTAAAAGCTACCTTTTCTCAAATACATTATATTTAACATAGAAAAATAGTATGTCTCTCTCTTTCTGGGAGAGCTTTTTTTTTTTCATTAGGTACTGATGTTATCAGACAACTAAAATTGGTGCAACCACTCTGAAATGGGAAAATAAGTTTCCTTATTGCAACAGTTTGAAGTTGAACTTGATTTGTATTATACTTTTTGTTTCTATCTTTACTCACAATGCAAAAATGAACAGATGCTGAGGTTAGTAAGAAAGAAGTATAAGTGCATGATACTGACCTGCATAACACATGCCATAGATTTTTTACAAAATTATACCTAATTTATCATATCACATATATTACATCATGTATTTTAATATTTGGTTAATAAGTTAAAGAGGATCCATTAAGTTCTTAAGTAAAATATTCTAATAATCATTTACCATCTCCTTATTGCTTGTCTAAATTTTGCTTGATTTCATCTTCAGTTGATGTTCTGCTTACAGACTCTGCATGATAGAACTGTGCATAAGAAAATTTTCTGTTCAGAGAGGTCAACTCATTTCCTAATCTCGTATTAAATTGGACTGGCAGCTTATTTTGCTTGTGTAGAGCTGACTTTCCAAACCTAGAATAAGTAACTCCAGGTTTCTAGGTTTTTCAATTTATCAGTAATGTGAGAAATTTATCAGTCTCTGAAGTGTTGACATCTAAACTGGGCATTGTACCTAGCAGTATTTTTGCACAGGTAAATGTCATGCACAGTATGGTGTATTATGTTTTGCTGTACAGACTCAATCAAGTGTTTCACTGCTATTCTGTTTGAATTAGTTATCAGCTAGAATCCATGGATTCCCTCCAAAATATATTACCTCACAGTAAAAGCATGACCTGGTCCTTTAATCGTAAAAGGTCGTGCATCTAGCAGTGTAAAAGTACGTCCATCTAAAACCTGTTGTCTTTGTTTTCCACCTCACCAGCACTTTGAATCTTTTGGGTACTTTGTCTCCTGAGGCTGCGAAGTAGCGTTTAGAATAGCGTTTTCTGTTGCTCTGAAATCAGTTTAACCAGTAGGGGGAGATAAGACATAGGATGATTAGACTCACACGTGTTTTCTTTTGTGGGCAGCCTTTCAGAAAAGACAGAATCCTTCATCTCACTGTCAGTACCATAACAGGCTGGACCGAATTCTGTATTCTTCCTTCCATATTAGCAAATTGTCATACCTGCTTTGAAAGATGCTGTAGCTTTTACATTTAACCCATTTAACCCATTTAACCAGTCATAGAACTGTAGAGTCATAGAATCACTGAGATTGAAGCAGGCCTCCAACGTCATGTAGTCCACTTACCACTAGTATTGAAATAATGAAAGATAAGCTTTTCCTTCAGTAGTAATGAATCAGCTAACACAAAAATAAGATTTGCTACATTAATCAGCTGTACAACATTTAAAATTTCAATCTCAGTTATCTATCTTGAATCTTGTGAGCTAAAATCTTGATCTAAAACTTAAGATACTTAACTAAGTAAAGCTTGTGGTGTAGTATACATACAATAACTATAGTGTAAGATGCATCTTTTCCAAATCTGGAACTTATTTGCCTGAATCTGTTGTTAACATTGATTTTTGGCATTAATGTGGCATGATTTTGGGTAAGCTTTATATGCATGTTTCTTGCTGAAGAGCATCTACAGCAATAACAACAACAAAAATAAGCTGTGTTTTTGCATCTTTGTTCCCCTCGTTATGCTCTGTGGCATGTCTGGTTGTTTTGCTTGTTTGTTTTTTTCTCTGTTTTCCTTAAGTTGTTTTTGTTTTTAATTTGATTGCATCAAAATGCTGTTTTTCAATTGCACTTGCATTTACGGTGTTATTTGTCAAGGTGCTGATTAGAGAGGGCCTGTATGCTGCTGAAGCATTACCACATTCTTTAAATGTAATTCCTTCTCTTTCTGTTTATTCTCTCTTACTGCTTTAATCCAAGTTAATGCGGAGGAATATAACATATATTAATGTTTTTGTAATCATTACCTTTCTATCAAACACTTTTTCAGAGGGTTTTTTAGGATACTTTTTGTTTTTCTAGCATTTTCTGGTGCTTGACTCTAATTGTACTTAACAAACATGAACTAGGACTGAAATTCCCAAGGAGGAAAGATCTGAATAACTTCAGGAATAGTGTTAATTGCTTTAAGAGCTGGTTATCATACAAAATGTTTCATTAGCGTTGGTGACTTTTACTTACTGTGCACATAATCTGCAGAGACCTGAGTCTTAAAGTGTATTCATCCAAAATAGAATGTGGAACTCCTGCCTTCCATTGATTCTTTTTGTCTTCACTACAATGTGAGTTTGGTTTTTCATTATTTATTGTGAATTTTTCTTCTGTGGAGTTTCCAGCATAATTTTTTTAGAGGTTTTTGTTTGTTTTTTTTTTCTTTTATGTCTCATCCAGTCACGTGTAGATAATACAATAAAAATTTTGACAGACTTTGTGAGGCAAATGAGTCAAACACAATGTTCCAAATTAACTGAAATTATTAAAGGAAGGAAGTACTGAGACTGTATGAATAAAACCATTTATGTGTTTTGTAATTTTACCTTCTCTTTATTTTTTTTAATAGGGAGTGTCCAGATGCAGACTCAGTTGTAAGTAGATTCATTTCTAACACAAATGTGTATGCTAACATTGTCAGGCACTGCAATTTACATACAGGCCCTTGCTAAGTGTTATTTATGTGATAGAGGATTTAGTGTTTCACTAACATAATTGAAATGTTACTTTCACTCAGAACATAATCTTTCACAGTACATAAAGACATTCATCTTTAATATGTTTGTATTTCCATCCATTTCAGGTTTTAAACAGGATGTTTTTACAACAATGATTTGCTACTTTATTTTGCGAGTTAGTAGTTTGAACTGCTTGACTAATAGATTCCAAGTGAGTTAAAGGTTCAGTATGTTTTCATGAGGATCCAGTTTTGCATCGTCACATTCCTCTGCATTATTACTATCTCCATGAACAACCCTTCTGAAATTAATGGAGTTCTGCTTGACTGCTTGCAACAGAGAATAGCAGTATACTTTTAAAAATATTGCTTTAAGCGTAGTATTTCTTTTTTTTCCATGGTCTTTTCTTCATTGCTCTCAGTGCCATGACTTACATTTTCTTTTTTTTTTTTTTTCTAATAAAAATAAGCAATAAATGTTAACACTTAATTGAGCCTTTTTTTTTATTGAAACATGTCAGTTGTCTTGAATTACATACAATGGAGATCGGAGCTTCCAGTAGCTATGGTAGGGAGTAATTTACAGAATTGTTTAAGAGACTTTCTAGAGACTTATATGTTTTTTTGTTCACTTACATGCCAACTATATTAAGCAATTTAACTCTTCGAATTCAACTGTTGTAGAAATTTCTTCCTTGCATATAGTGTCTGTAGGTTTCAGTACCTACTAAAAAGCTTTTTTTTTTTTTTTTGAGTAATTTGTTTTTTTTTAAAAATCTACTATGACCTTTTTTCTAAATAAGGAAATGTTAATTTTGCTACCTAATATAACTGTCTGTCTATGAAGAGCCTTGTAAGCGTCATATGAGACAGTTGTTTCATCCTATACAAAGTCATCTTGGTTTAAAGCTTTTTTTTTTTCTTGGGTACATTTAAAGCTATGTAAATTTAGAATTATCCCTGTAATTATCAGGGTTTTCAATGAAATAATTTCTTTTGACAGTTCGGGTTGAGTCACTGGAGTGAAAACACGAGGGGGTTTGACTTGCAGTGTTTATTTTCTTCCTTGCTTATTTTGGTCTCTACATTTTTAGAAAATAATTGATTCAACTGTAAGTGAATCTGATGTTCTTTCTGGCTGCATGAGGAAGACCATTAAAATCATTTAAGTTAATTGATCTGTCTAAATACAGTTATTTTAAAAAATCAGCTTTCATATCATCTAACAGCAATAACAGTTTCTTAACCTTCTCTTCTTTTTAATGCAAAATCTTTTTTTTCATGTATTCAGAGTTTAAAATTTGATCTGTCATTTCTTCTTGCTTTTTACCAGCAACATTACCATTTTAAGTGGTAGAATGCTTTAATAGCAAAGTCCATTACTGTAATTTTTTATTTGATTGCTAGAAAATGCTAAAGATGAGTTCTCAGAAAATTCAACTTACTTAAGGTGCCCCTTAATTATGATTAAGATTATGAATTTCATCTTTGGTCACTCAATGAAATCTCATCCTCTGGATTTTGTATTAATGTTATCTTTTCTAAAAGATGGCATTTGTTAATTTGTCAAGGATTTAAATTATTTTTCTCTTCAGAGGGAGGGTTGTAGGAGGTAACCAAGCTGCAATTATGATTGTACACACTGAGCTACATACATTGTATTTTTAGAAATTAAAGATCAAGTAAAAATTGACTTAAATACTTGATCTACCAGTCCTATGTGATACTGTGGATCTTTGAACATATATTAAGTGGCAAGTTCCATTGGGCTCTCCTCACCAGTCCAAAATGAATAATGCAGATTAAAAATTCCTGCATTGTTACATGTCAGCCTGAACATATAACTTCCATTAAGTTTAGCCTTGATAATTAAGAAAATAGACAGCTAACAGTGTGTATACAAGAAAGAGATAACAGCTGAAGTTTGGCTGTGTATACATGTCCATTACCTAGCAAGTTGCTACGTGGGCAGAACTAATAGGTTTGACGTGTTTCTAGGTCTACAGGGAGTTAAAAGCTCTAGCAGAACCTTTTCTTTTGGTAAAGTGTTTACAGGATTTCACTTGTGTCCAGTAAGGTCTGAGTTTTGATTGCGGACCTTCCCGTCTGGAATACTAGCAGCTCCCTCTCTTCTACTTCACTGCTTTTTTTCATGAAAACTGTAGTAATGCAATTATCTTTGAGTCCTCTGTTCTGTCAAATCCATTTGAAATTGTCCAGTAAGTTCAAAAGTAATTAAGAAGGGAGTCACAAATGCACAGAGTGTAATGCTGGACTTTTTTATTATATAGGAAACTATAATGAAAACAAATACACTGAGGCATCCAAAAGTTTTCATTAACCTCATATGTATAATATAATTCAGATTATCTAGATTTATAGACTTTTTATTGATAAGAAGTGGCTCAATTTGGAAGTACTATACTCTTAATTTATGGAGAATAAGTATAACCATAATTATAAATTTCTTTATTCAGTCTTTTTTTTTTTTTTTGCTTACATTTTGTAATATTTATCTCCGACTGACACAGTTTAGAATAGCTGTTGCTATTACAGGATATGAGCCTTTCTAGCCACAGTTGCAGGTGGAACACTCCAAATACCTTGTTTTTCTTCTTGCATCTCTGTCACTGGGACAAAATGACTGGCTACTCTCTTCTTCTGTGTTGCTGTGGGTTTTTGCGTGTGTATGTGTTATTAGGTATCCTAAAGAGAGGAGCCTGAGAATGTCATTCAAACCTTTGTACTTCAGGGTTTACCTGGGTCAAATTGGCATCTCAAATTTATTAAAAGTGGAGAGGCTCCTTTTCCTGCTCTTTCAGGCTACAAGCATCAACTGCTTACTTTGATTTTTCTCCACCTGAATGTGCAGAAGGAAGTCAGTCTTCTTTGGTAAAATGGCAGAGAATTCCTATGGAAAAAAAAGAAATAGTTAACTGTTCAGCTCAGTCGTAATTTGCTGCATACTTTGAGGAAGATGACATAAGAAGCTCTCATAATCATTGTAGATTGCCAAGAGGAGAAGAAAGGTAGAAATCTTGCTGAAGTTCAGTTAAGTCTATTTTTTGACCCAGTAACTGAGCTATGAGCAGTGCTTCTGTTGCTGATGAAGGGACAAAGGAAATAGCTAGACTGCAAAATACTTCAAATGTTCTTCTCTTTTACTTCCTATCTACCTTTAAGGAATCAGTGACATGGTAGCACTTTGGTTTCTCCCATTGTTTTTAGATTATAGGTGAGACATAACATTTAATTAGTTAACAAAGTGTTGACTAAAATTCTGAAAATGAGTTTTGGCAATAGAATTCCAAGCCCTCATACTTCTTGTATTTGCAGTTTTACTTTGTTATTTATTATGTCCTTTTGTTACATTTCTTCAAAAAGAAATTCAGCCCAGAAAGTCTGTGAAACTTACTAAGGCCAAGAAAAAGTTATAAATATATTTTTGTTACATGCGTGCTTTTACCAGTATGCATATACATACATATAAAAATGTATATGTATGCCTGTATGTATATATATACTTGAAACTATATATGACATGAATCCGTGTGTTGTATCACATCTGCAAACATCCAGAATTCAAATCATATCCATATTGAGGTTTGTTTTTTTTTCCTGGAAACAAATAGAGTTATTATGGAGGGGCTAAACCTGAATTCCTAATCATACTAATAACTATTTCTTATGGAAAACCAAAGTTTGCAAAGATGATCTTCCTCTGTGATGAAGTTCAGAAGTGGATGTTGTGTTTTTTTTCTTCATTTCTGCATGGTAGGCAAATCAGGACTTGACTATAGCATGCCTGGTACTTAAAAGACACACCTGACTTGCAGTTCTGTCTTTGTAGGAGTTTGGAGGAGGCTTATCAAACTAAATGCAAATATCTTCCTTAATATGAAATTTTTGAATATGTAATTTACCCAAAGAGCTGTATCTTCTGCTACTGTTAAGAAATTTGATATTAGTAAATAATAGTCTCATGTTTTAGAAAGTAAGGAAAGCAGTTCTCCGTGAAAACAGTATTTTGGAATTAATTTGTAAGATTTTTAGTTAACATGCTACTCGTATATGACACGGTACCCAACCTTTTTTTAATAGTTTATACAAAAACACAGTTTCAGTATTGTAGAAAGCAGAAAATGCGTTAAGAGTGATCAGAATTTTTTACAAAATCAATCTGAATCACTGAGAAACCTGGAAACATAAAGCTAATGATTTCTGATTCTGCTTACACTATTAATAATCCATATTAATAATCCATAATTTCAAGTTATATATTTAAATTTCAAAATAGGAAGAAAGAATTACAAGTCAAATTCTGTTATGAGCATATTAGCTGACTTTTTGCCTGAAGTTAGGCATACAAGCAATGTGCTGAAGTGACATTGCTCATAAATTGTTGTTACAAATATTTTTGCTAGATCAGAAGTAGTTAAGGCAAAAATGCTAGGAAATTGAATACTTGTAAGAATATTAAGATTTCAGTACCTTTGACAGATGCAATTTATTTTAGAGAATGCATTAAAATAGTGCAATGAGAACATTTTCTGCAAACAAAGGTTTTTTTTCCCAGTTTTAAATCAAAGCAGGCATATTTGCGAACTCTGTTGTTTGTGTTGCATCTCCCCAGTAATAATATCTTTTACATATATGCCTGGTCTGGAAGAAGAACTGAATGTTGCATGTTTAAAGACTTTTGTAGTTTTTCAATTCATCTTAACCATGAATGATCCTTATCTATTGAAAATTTACTATTACAACAACTGCAGAATTCAGAAGTTGCAGTAAGAACATGTAAGAACCCTCTAGCTATATGTTTTTGTTCTGTTTACTTGGATGTCAGGTTTCATTAGTGTTTTTTGGCATATAAACAAGGTCGGCCTGAGGTCAAGCGTAGCTAAGAACCCTGATTTGAGCAAGTAGAGCTAAGGTACTGGACCGTGTGATCCTACTCTTATTACATTTTTTTCTCCAGTTCTTCTTCTTTTTTTTTTTTTTTAATCAAATAGCAGTTTGGCCATGTCTTAAAAGTTTAAAGAAATTGCACCTAAATCTTCTATATTTCATAGTACCAGTTTATACAGTTTTACTGTCTGTAGTTTAATGTGCGTTCTAATTAGGTATGCTGTCACCTATTCTTAAGTGTTTCTTAATCCTTTTGGCAAAAAGTTTGATCTTTATTTAAATTAATTCAATTTAATTCACAGTTGCTAAGTTTAGAAGGATATATCAATAACATACAAGACGCCCCATTTGTGATTTCTGCAGGACAGCAGTTTTATGCTTATCTAATCAATTCGAGCTGAATATGTCTTTAAACCCAAGTTAAATTTTAGATTTTCTGGCTGTTTTCTAGCTCACTAGAAGTTTCTAGTGTAAGTTATCTTCTTATATCTAATGACTTACATCGGAAAGATGTATTTTGGCCATAATGTAATGTTTGCTTTCATTCAGATTGCCTCCCACTACCTGTTTTCAAATACAATACAGGTAAATTGTTGGTACATTAGAATAAATGTCTTTTTAGTATGAATCTTCATGTTTGTATTAAAAATTGAAACTGATAAAATCGGTACATGTTGAAGATGTGTGGGTTCTGCTTTTTATATAATAATCTTATTTGTGGCAGCTCAGTTCACGAAGTCACTCATGGTCTTTTCACTTATTCTTCTGTTTTGAATGGGATAATTAGCCGTATATGAAAGTATATCAGTCTGTATATAATGTAAACAAATTTGGCTTTTTTTCCCATATAATTAAAATTGAGATTATCCTACTAGAAACTTGTTTCTCTCTGTTCCAAAGTGCTTTTGTGAAACAAAGTCCTTAGCTAGCATTCTAAATTCTTTTTAGTGCAATTTTCTCAGTTTATATATTTAATTATCTGCAGTACCTGAAAAACTGAAATTCCTGATTGTTCAGTAGCTTTTAAAATCCAGCCCAGTGCTGGAGATGTCTTTTAAGTTTCATCCGTGGTTTTTACTTAATGTAGATACTTTTTGCTGAAGCACCAGTACAGTCTTGCTGACTTTTCAAGGGGGAGAAAATTTGCAGGCTGTTATAACCTGGAATGCTTTTACTCGCATATTGAAGTTTTGACCAGTGCTTTGTAAATTTATGCTCCTGCATCATCAGAACCTTCAGTGCTTTAACTGAAGGAATTAGAAGTAGAAACTGGGAAAATATTTAGGGCAAAAAGAATGGTAGGCTTACTTACCTTACATACTTCTGTTATTTTCTGGCCTTTTTGGTAGCATACTGGTAAAATACTGGTGGCGTACTGGTAAAAGAAACAAAATAAAGGAGGTGATTGAGACTCACAGGAAATGTATTTTCACAGGAAACGTGGAGGTTGTTTTGTTGCATTTTTTACTTTTTATCTATAGAGAATAACTTGAAATAACTGCAATAATTAATGTTAAATAGTGATTACTTTAATTAGCCATCATAATCAAATTTCAGTTTGTCAATTGTATAAGATCCAGTTGAATGTAAGAATTTTTTTTTGCTTACTTGTCAATACCTTTTTTGTTGTTTTGTTTTAGAACATTCCTGATGTAGATGATGAAGGATACAGCATTAAACCAGAAACAACACAGGATATCCTTTTCACTATTACTGTGCTAATTTATTTGATCTTGTAATAATCTTTTGAAGAGGGAGAATACTGATTAAACAGTTAAGCAGAGGAAAATGTCATGGTACTTGTGTTTCAAATTTGCATTCTCATGTTCATGGTTTCTGCAAAAAACTATGTTGAATTTTGTCTAGCCTTGATTCTGTGTGTGTGTGTAAACGTTAAAATTTAAATCTGATGTGTTAGGAATGGTAAAAGAGTGTTCTTTGTCTAAAGACAGCGAAGATGTGAACAAAAACTTGAAGGTAGCCATGCAGGCCTTTCTCTGTGAAAAGCTTTCAGAGAGTTCATAAAGTAGAACTATCTTACACAGGATAACAGTTACTGGTTCTATACCTGCACCCTCTCCACGGTTTTATAGCGTCATTAAAAAGATTAGGAATGCCAACAGTCCAGAAATAGAACTTCTGTTTCTTAGTGAAGTCATTCCGGCACACAGAGTTTTTATTGTATGTTAATAGTTGTTGTGTAAGTTGATAAGTTTTTGCCATCAGTCATTTTTCATGGAAGCTCATGATTTTTTCTGCTCTTTCTCTGAAGAAAAAGATTTTTTCCTCTTTCTCCCATCAGAAACAGGCTGTGCTCAGGACGTGAGATCTGGCTTGTGATAGGTCTAAGCAATCCCTTAGCAAAATCACTGATTTTTGGGAATGTATTCTGCTTTTCTGGGGAGAGACTAGAAATAAAAAGTAAACTTACACTTGAATTTACCTTAAATAGTAAAACATTTTTTTGGTTGAAAGCACCTTAATGTGTGTCAATCCTTCAGAGCTTCTCTGCTCGTATCAACTTTGCAGAACATTCTTCTGCTGACCCCAGGGAAGTTTGCTTTGCTGGTAAAAACAGTCACATTATTTCTTATTTACAAAACCAATATAAAAATGAAAGACTATTATTCAGTTCTGGGGGGAGGGAACGTCATTACTTCATGCTTTATGTATAGTTATGAAATGGAGACAGGAGTGAATAACGTTCATTCTTTGTAAATGATTCACCCAGACATTCTTTTCTCCATTATCCTTTCTGTCATGAGGAAATGGAAAAATCTGTACATCTAGTGGCAAAGCTTAGTGATTTGCAATCCTTGTCAGTTAGGTTATACTACAGCTTCAGAATCTCTTGGCCAGATTCAGGAAGTCATCAGTTTTCTTCTTTCCTTCCAATAGCATCCAAGGATGGTTATTTATTCTGCATATGGGAACTCTTAAGATGATTTGTTGGCAGTCAGGCTTTGTAAGGCCAATCTTAAGTGTTGAAAAAACTTTCATGAAGTGACCTTTCATTTCAAGGCATTCACATCTCAACTGATCTTTGCCAGTAACCATTTCATAGACTTCAGTGGTCAGCCTGTGCCACTTTACAAAAGCTGTGTACAACAGCCTGATGTGTAGGAAATGAATCTTGAAACTCAGAAGCTTTCAAAAGAAAGCAATTTTCTGAAATACAAAATGACTTGTCTTTAAAATTGTGCTTTCCAGATGCAATCAATTTTTGAGGATGAACAGACTAAGATTTAGATATCTGAATATTGCTTCACCAGCTCTCAGGGAATCTGTCAGTTGAATTGGATTTGGAATGCCTCTAGGGTTTAGGGTTTTGACATTTGTCAGGGAATGCTTTGAAGAGATTTTGTTCATATGGCTGTCTTTTTTCAAAGTGAAAATAACAGAAGCAATATATAGATTATGTGTTCTTCACCCAGACAGCAAGATACTTTTCATGTTAGAGTTCAGGAAGTTTTGCAGTTTGTTTCTTGTAAAAATAAATGCACTTTTAAGAATTAGAGTAGACCTTTCAGAGCTTTTACCCAGTGGAATTTATATGCATATGAAGAATCATATAAAGAACCACTACTACATATATTTTGCTGGTTTTGAAGGCTGTGTTGTTACTGTGATTCCTTTGTAGGCTGACAGTAGTGTTTCATTTACTGGACAGCTTTCTGTGTAACTGGCATCTTTTGCAGTGAAACTGTCAGCATTACTCTGCAGAAATGGCAAGTTGTAATGGCTGCTACTCCTGCTTCCTCTGCAGTTATGCTTGGCAGAGGTACCATGGACACTCCACTGTCATTTCCACCTTAACTGAGAAAAACATATCAAAGAGAACCATTTCTATTCATCCAGTGATTCTGACTCTGAAGATGATGAACCCAGGAGGTTCCATATAGAAATAAAACCTGTACAGCCAAATAATAGTTCTCAATACACTATGCCTTCATTGGACGAATTAAAAGTTTCTATAGGGAACATTGCTCTTTCTCCAGCAACATCTGTAAGTAATTTTGTTCTTTGTATTTTTAATGAGAAGAAAAGTCATAAGGAATCTTTACTGTAAATATTCCATTTACTCTCCAGAACTTATTCTATATTCAAGTTCTTTTCATTGCAGAGTAAGTTTCCCTTAATGCACTTTGTTGCAATATAAAATAATTCTCCCTTAGATTTTAGCTTTCCAGTAAGTCTTAGGAGTGCTCAGACTTTTAAAACTGATTATATAATGTGGATATGTGTAGTTTGTAAAGTGCAGCTTCACTGTGTGCGTTCTGCCTAATCACAGAATGATCCTTCACATCAAGCCATGGTACTACTACAAATAGTTTTGAATTTATCTAGTACAATACTTAGATCAGAATTTTGATGGCTTTGAAGGAAGATACTATATGTAACATTAAAATACTAATGGTGATTTTTCTATTTTTCCCCATGTTTTGAAAGCAGAGACACAGTCCTGTAAGTACAAAATGGCTTTTTATTCATCTTTTTAATTTAAAATCAAATGAGTGTACTATGTGTGAGAGAAAATGTATTATGCTTAAAATAGTACAACTATGTATTGAGAAAAGCTGAGGAATGATTTATCTGTCAGATGTACAGATGTACAGAGATACGAAAACTGTTGTATCTTCCTGACCTAGCCTGCAAAGTTGTGTAGTCATACTGCTGACTTTATCAGCTCAGCAGTCTTCTTTCCTGCCTTTTCTTGTTCCGTGTTGTGAGTGTGCATTAGTTCTGTCACAGGTCCTGTTCTGGTTTTCTATAAGCTCCAGAATGTTTTACCTGTCGTTGAAAGCAAAATATCTCATAGAAAGTAGAGTGGAAATATGAGCCCTAAGACTATTAAGCATTCTGTTTGGAAATTGGTTTAAAATTTTTTTTTCTTCTTCTGTTTCAGGCACAAATGAATCGAAATTCATCCAGTAAGTGTGACTGATTAACTTCTAGTCTGTTTATGTTAGTTTTTTGATCTAGCATGAAAATAGATTTTTTTATTGTTTCAGAAATGAACTTACTCAGTATTTTAAGTAGGAAAATATTTATCTTGTCAATTCTGGATACCTTTTTGATATTTTCCTTCAAACAAACTACTCATAGTCAATTCAAAGAACAAAACTAGCTTATCTGGTCAAAATTTCAAAGCAGCTAGTAACCTCCAAAGATCTCTTCATTTTCTATATACTTAACTGTTCCCTGTGCTGGGAATCAGATGAGACTGTGACTGTGATGAAGAACAAATCCAAGAGTCAAATGGAGATTACTCTTGTGTGAGCCCTTCTACCATCTTAAGTATTATTCCCAAAGTTGCAAAGTAGTCTGTTTTAAAACCAAAAATACAAAACCTGACCAGGAAAGCAGAGTGTGTGAGTCTCAGTCCTCTAGGTTGTTTGGTTTTCTTTGTTAAGTGAGAAAACAAGCCAGAATTGCTGAAGAATAAACTCAATGTAAGCAGTTTAATTTGAGGAAGAGATATGAAGTGATTTAAAGAAATACTTCCTTCCAAAATGCTTTGCTCTGTATAGTCCCCTTGCTTCAGAAGGTATTTCAGGAGCATCTGAATTTACATTATCTGAAATAATACATTTTCTTAATAATTCGTAATTAGATTTGAACAGCAATCATAAACATCTACTATATTTTTATAATGAAGCATAAATATTTATGTTTTACCATACCATAGCTTTGGTCTTATTATTTCGTTTTTTGCTTAGGTGAGGAGTTAACAAAATCGAAGCTTTCGGCTCCGACAAATGAGTAAGTTCAACTTCTAAAATTATGTCAAATTAAGTTTGCAGGGTGGGGGAGGGTGAAGATTTGGTCTTATTTTTCTCCAGTACTCAGAAAGTCGTTGAAATTTTCAGACGACTGCTATTTTAAGCATCTCTTGCATTATAAGAATTATAATAAGAGTATATAATATATAATATTATATTATAATAATAATATATTATATATTATTATTAATAATAATATATAATATTATAATATATAAGAGTAAATATAATAAGAGTAATAATGTAACATTGAAGATTTTTGTTTGCTTGCTTTTCCCTTTCTAATGTGTTTTCTTCTTTATGATGTCTCAATTGGTATTTAAAATTACATGATAAAAATTATTGATTTTTTTGTTTAGTTTCCATTGCACAGTGTTCCACTGCGAAGTGCTTGAGATCACAAGCCCAGAATTTGGACAGTTGACATATTGCTTATATATTGCTGAAACAAGTCAGTCTGTAGATGTACGTCTTGCTGAAAGTGAAAATACGTACACATATATTCTAGCAAAATGACATATGTCCATACACAAAGTTGCCCAAAAGTAATAAAGGGGTCAGTGCATATAGTTTGATTATGTGTAAACTAGTTCTACAATTTGTAAGTGCGTTTACTTTTAGATGCAAAAGCTAATGAATACCACAGATGAACTATCAATGCCGTAGTTCGACTGTTATTAGTATGTGTTCCTTTCATTTGTATTCCAATTGTAACTCTTACTATAGAAAAGGGAACAGTGACCTTCTGGCATGGGATCCACTGTTTAGCAGTTCGCTCGAATCTTCCTCTTCAGCCTCCTTGGCTTCGTCATCCTCCTCAGGTGAGATATTTGATAGCAGGAAAGTGTTTTCTGCATATTCTTTGGGATGTTCTGTGGTTATTTTTTTAGTAATTGCATGTGTTTAAATTGCCAAAATGAAAGATATCCCATGTTATGAATAATACAGAAGGTATGATATATCAAGCTTTTAAGCTGGGGAGCAAACGGGAAGGGGGAACACAAGAAACCTTTGGAAAATTCTATCTTGCTTTTGTTTTTTTCTCTCCTTCTCTTCCTTTCCAAAATTGATTATCTGTGCTGAAAGAAAAACAGAGTCAAATTTTTTTGCTAATAGGGCTGAAAGATAAATGGAGGATATTGCAGCAACTATGAACCAAGCTGAGCATCCATTTTGAACAGGAATGGATTTCTTCTTTACAGAGGAGGCTGCTGAACTATCTAGTACAAAGCCTCCATAAACGCTTTGCAGTGAAGAGTCTGTTTTCTGTATGAATTCATTATTCTGTTATGAGATGTGTGGGCAGAACTGCGGGGCAATGGGAGAAAAGGGCAGGACTGAGGCTGCATGGGGCTGAGGGGAAAGTTGTTGCACCACCTGAGAGGAAGTGAATTGTATGTATGTGAGTGAATTATGCTGAAAAAAAGTTGTGTTTTCTCAAAATAATCTGTTTTTTTAGCTATACTATTGCTTTGGTCATAGATCATAGACCTGTAACTGCACACAAATATCTAATTCGTGTTTATTCCCCATACTTTGTGCTTTGGTGTACAGGCACTTCATAGAGGTGCCCCAGCTTGAAATGTTTGTAGAAAGGGTTTGGGGAATCTCTCCATGACAGTGCTTTGTCGATGTTTCCTCGCTTGCATGCAAGCGCTGAAGGTGACTCCACTTAAGCCCCATATTGTTGATTTTGTGATTTCTTCCTCTTCTCTTTGCTCCACAACTATCACCAGCTCCCTGTAGGACCACTGGTTACTCTTTCCATACCCCACCATCCCTATGAGGTCAGCTATGCTAGTGGTAAAAATAACGTTAAAATCGAGGTGTATTCAATCTTTCCCAAGCAGATGCTGATGTATATACAAGGATTAATGGTCACAGAACCCCAAACCCTGTCATTGCCACCAGTTTTGCAGTGATTTCCTGGCCTGTTTTATTAGTGCCCTTCTTATGCTCTCACCAGCAAGATTGCATAGAAGACAACCTAAGCCCCATGCTATTGATTACTGCTCCCAGCAGAAATCTGTAGTTAGTGCTGATACTATGAATTAGAGGTATCATGTATACTTCACATGGAAGAATGGAGGGATTAGTAGTTACAGGGTTCAGCGGTCAGCTTTAGCAGTCCCTCCACAATATCCTAGATTTAGGCTCCCCACAGGAAGCAAATCTCTCTAGTTGATAGCTTGAGTTGATAGATGCATGTCTTTGTCCTTTCTGATTCCCTGTACGGCAGGGAGTCACCCTTTATATGACCTTCTTTTTCCAGGTAGTCTTCCAGCTGGCATTGTTAAGGAGTAGTACATTCACTGCAAGTAGGCTCATGTCTTCAGCTGTGAGGGCAGTGAACCTCCTCAATTGTAAGCCTTTAGGAGAGGCAGAAGCTTTCCTTTTAGTGCCTGAAGTCACCAGCTTAGTCCTTTCCCTCTGATGTTACACAGCCTGCTCATTTCCTCCTGTAACTCCTCCACTTGGTGACATAGCTTTCAAGACAGCCAACAACTATCCTGTAGGACAGATGATCTTCTGTCCTGGTATTAGACAGAGGCCTACATACTGCCTGAAACGTGGGACTTGGAGGGCCGTATCTACCAACTGAAGCTTGGTTTGTGATTAGTTGATTTTTTGCTACTCATGGGTAGGAGAATAAAGCAGGTTAGAAAAAGTTCATACGGTCCCTCCTCAGTGAGCAGAACTGTGGAGAGAACAGCCTCTGGCTCATGAGCAGTGACAGATCATTGGGATCAGTAGCCAGACTTCAGGGGGAGTCTGCACATGGCTTTGCACCTCCTAAAAGTGGCTTATGTGCAAATCTCTACATTTTGTTGAAACTGGTGGAATATAGTGCCTTGTGGGCATAAGCCAATCTTAGATATGAAGGGCAATTTCAGATACGAGAAATATCTGAATATCTAGATATTTTGCCTTTGTAATGTTTCTCTCCTAAATAATTATTAAAAGGATTGTCGTTCTAGGAATTAACTAAGCTGTTTACATTAGTGAAATGACCCATGCAGTTAAATAGAAAGAAAGTTTTCCAAAATGTATCAAAGTAGTAATATATTTGGAATTTTTATTTTTTTTTACTGAATTGCAGTAGTTCGTATTGTTGTTTAAATTAAGTTAGCTTCTGATGCTCATTACCCTGCAGCTTTTAAAAGTACGCAACTTTGATCTGATTCTCTTTTGAAACCTCTGGAAATGAGTGTTTTATTTCCAACTTGAATGTTAATATAGATAATACTGCTGTTGAAAGGTTTTAACAGTTTCAATCCAAAACTTAAATTGCTGAAATATACAATAAATTTTTTGCTCTGTATACGAAGTATGATCTATCACGTCCCACAGGTATTTCTGTCTTTTTTCTGTTAAAGCATTTCTTAGAATACTGTTTCGTAATTGTGTTAATCATTGAACACCTAAACCACTGCGGTATTTTTGCAGGCTGTGGTTTATGCAGCATAGAAGTAAACTTTGGTCATCCATGAATAATCCTGTTTTATTAGAATTTAAGCTAGTTTTATTATCTTGAACAAACCCAACATACATTTTTAGTGATCTACTGATACTTCATAAATGCTTTTTTTATTTATCTTCCCCATTTTTATAAACAGGCATTTTAAAAATAATCCTGCACATTTCCCCATAGTTTTAGTATGAGATTTACAGTTGCATTTCAAAGGCTTTGAATGATGTTTTCAGAACCTAAGTACATAAAATACATAAAAATGTCAGGAAGAGAAAGCTGTGTTAAGTATCTGTTTATCTGGTCTTAGATCATGTTCTTGTTCCTGACAGAAAGAAAACTTTACAGACCTATGCTACTAATGTGTACGTTTAAATTTATTGCTCTCTTTAATTATTTGTGCCACTCTGCTGTTGCTCTTAGCTTTGCCAATATGCAAAACATTAAAGAGTTGACTAACTGCATTTGCTGCTTCTGTTGTCATCTACTCCAACAGGCAACAGCCAAATGCAGGGAAAACTTGTGGAAAACTCATTTTCTGGCAGGTTGAAGACTCTGGCATGACAGAAAATAAATTGGGGTAGATGGTGCCTCATGCGTTTTGTGACTTACTAAAAAAGGGGTTGATAGGATCAGAAAAATAAGAAGCAAGTAGCATCTCATGACTTTATTGTCATCATTCATTCACTGAACAGTTATTTATGTTGGGCTTTTCCACTACAGATGTGGGTAAGAGCATAAATGTTTGGAAGGAAAGTAGGAGAGTAGATTTGACTAAGTTGTTTTGAAAGAAGTTGAAAGGAGAGAAAGGAAATAAAAATGGATTAGGACACCAAAAAGGAAAATAAAAGGACAAGAGGAAGTTAAACTTAGCATGGTATGGAAGTTAGAGATTAACAAAATCATGAGAATTCGGGATTTAAGGGAAAAGAAAAAACATAGATTACTTCTTGACTTGCATAAGGAATGGAAAGTGACATGTCTGACAGTTTGGACAAAGCCAATGTGATAAATGTTTTGTTGTTTTTTTTCTTATATGTGTAAGTGGTGTGATTTTTAGCCTAATAGAGCAATTATTTTTTATGCTGGCTAATAATAATGCAGAGGATATTGATATTGAATACACCTTTTAAGTCTGGATTTATATTTTATCATTTCAGTATTCCATCCTGTTTCAATTCTTACCTTTTCCTTCAGCTACTCTAAGAGAGCACAATAGGAATTCCTCATCTACCAGTGGCTTCCCTGGATGTAGAACATCTCAGTCATTGCTTGGACTCCAGACAGATTCTGGGTCTGGAAGCCCATCCTCACCAGACTTCATAATTAGCACTTTGTGCAAATCTGGTGTAGAAGTACCATCAGGGAGTATCAGTACTTTATCCTCTGTTTCATGGTCTCAGAGTCAGTGGATTTCCTTCGCTGATGAACTTTTTACAATTAGAGAAACAAGCACAGACGAGAAGGAGCAACAAAGATTACATTTTAAAACTGAAAATGCCTGCCTTGCCTCTTCTGCTTTGCTTGGGAGTTCTTCCAACTGCTGTGCTTCTGAGGATCAAAGTGACCTTTCAAATAATACTATATGCCATGAACAATTATTCATTGAAGAAACTGGCACTGCTGCAGAAATTTCTTCCACATCATCTTCAGCACATCTGGACTATAGTTTAGTGTCTCCTTGTGTTCGTTCAAACAAGGGTATGGCCAGCATGCATTGTGTACTGCTCTTTGCTAATGACTGACTCCAAAAAGCAAGCTTTGGACTGATTTTTTATTTCATTATTCTAGCTTACCTTATAATTAACTTCTTAACTTAGAATGTACTAAATTGCTTGTTAGTGTCAATTTCTTTGAAACTTAGGACACTGAAATAAATATTCAGCTTGACGTAAGAGGAAAAATCAATTTATTTAACTATAAAGGCACTGCTTTTTCTTAGCTACACGCAGCTTAGCTTTTCTGGAAATAAACATGTACTTTCCTGGAATGTCAGAGAGGAATGAAGTCTCAAAGATTAAATGCTTGATTTTGCGTAAACAGTTCCTTTCTTAAACAGATGTATTCTGAACCTGCTTTCTATAGATCAGATTAAATAAAGTTTAAGTAAATTTGACTGAGAACAGTTTCTCTTTAACACCCAATATTTTAAAAAGTGGATCATATTAGAATGATGCTACATACTGAAAGAGCAAAGCAAGAAGCATTGGGCACAGTTTGCTGAATATCTGTGATACTGAAGCAGATTAGTGATGTTTAACATGTACTGTGTAGCCTGGGCATAAGGTGGTTATAGTCAGTATTAGCCACATTTCTTCCCAAGTCAGCAGTGGAACTCCATTACCTCAGTGAGGGCAGAATTATGTTGGATGCCTGAGAAAATAAAAACTGCGTAACATTAATAAAATTAATCTTAATATTACCTTACTTAATCAAAAAAAAAAGAACTGTTCAGGGTAATTTCACAGAATAATGGCATGGTTTGGATGGAAAGAGACCATAAAAACCATTCAGTTTCAACCCTCTGCCTTAGACATGTTTGCTACCCACCAGCTCAGGCTGCTCAGGGCCCCATCCAGCCTGTCCTTGAATTCCTCCAGGGATGGGACATCCACAGCTTCTCTGAGCAGTCTGTGCTGGTGCCTCACCACCTTCTCAGTGAAACACGTCCCCTGACATCTAATCTAAATCTCCCCTCTTTCATTTTGAACCCTTTTCCCTTTGTCCTGTCGCTGTCTACCCATGTAAAAAGTTCACTTCACGTGTTGGAAGGCCACAGTGCGGTCTCCCCAGAGCCTTCTTTTCTCCAGGCTGAACAAGCCCAGCTCCCTTAGTCTGTCTTCAGAGAAGAGGTGAACCTTTCCAACATCTCCACATCATTCTTGTGCAGGGGGCCCCAGGATCAGATGCACTACTCCAGATGAGGCCTAATGAGGGCAGTGCAGAGAGGAACAATGATCTCCCCCTCTCTGCTGGCCACTCCTCTTCTGATGCAGCCCAGGATACTGTTGGAGTTCCAGGCTGCAGGCACACACTGCTGGCTCATACCCGACTGTTGGTCCATCAGGACCCCCAGGTCCTCTGCACGACTGCTTTCACAGAGTTCTCCCAGTCTGTACACATCTGGGGTAGCTCCAATCAAAACACAGCACCTTGCCTTTTTTTTGAGGGAGCTTATAAGATACGCAGCAACTATAACTATATATTTGGGTTTCTATTTTGAAGTGATGGCATTTAACATTTATTTTCAAATACAGTTCTCTTCAGAAAAGTGACTGTGTAAAAGTGGCATCTTTATACTGCTGCCATCATCTGTTGGTTGTGTCTACTAGATTTAGATGGACATGGGAGCAGTGTTTTGTACCGCTTTTAAGATCTGACAGGTTGGCTAAAAGAGATAATAAGGAGCTACTGTGTTCTTGCAGTCAACAGAGTAATTTGCTGAGTTTTTTGTGTTAAACTGGCATTTACTTACTGAAATCAGTGGAATTTCAGAAGGCGTGATTTGATATTAACTGTTATGCTATATTATCAGCCAGGACCAAATGTGAATTTCCACTGAGTTTTTCATTATGGTAAGACATGAAAGATTGTCCTATATTCTATATAGAATATGCACAAAAATGAACTCAGGTAAAACCTTCTTTTGCATACAAAGCTCTGAGATTAGTTGATAGAAAATCATTTGAGAGCATTGAGAAATACCGTGATGCCATTTTTAGAGTCACTTTTCAGAGTGTCTCATGGCTCTTTTTAAAATACTTTTTGATTTGTGGTGAATCTTACAAAATAGAACTGTAAAACAGGAACTTTTAATAGAAACTTTCAGTTTGGTTTTATTCACTTGGTTTTATTTGACTGACTACCTAATTGTGTTCACTGTGACATTTCTAATTTTGATTTTCTTACGTTTGCTTTCTTTCAGCAAGACCCACAACTCCTCTTACCGTAGGCACCATTGTACCCCCTCCAAGGCCTGCTTCAAGAACAAAATTGTCTACAGGGAAACTTAGTGGAATTAATGAAATAGTATGTATTGATTTTTAAAAAATTCTTGTTTATAAATAAATTTCAGATATACCACTTGTTTGTATTGTTACAATGCAGTTATTTTCCAGTCAGGGCTCAAGAAATCACATACTCAGATTTTCACCACTGCCAGATAGGTATGGGCATTGTTTGCAATAAGTGTGTTACTGTAACAAAAATAATTCTTAATTGATCTTGGATTGTTTTTAGTTGAATAAATAAATAGTTTGAAAATGCATGGATGGGGGGGGGGGGGAGGAGGATTAAGTTATTCACAATGCTAAATTCTAGCAAAATTATTAGCAAAGCTTCAATGATGTACGAATATCACCTAAACTTTGGGGAGTTAGTAGTACTAAGTGGGTCATTATCAGTCATGCTTTGATACAAGTAGACGTGCTGTGATTCACTCTGCCCTTGGTGGAGGTGATTGGTGAAAGGAGATAGCAGATTGCAGCAGCTGCTCATCAACATACAGAGATGCCGTCTTTGCTCCTTGCCTGCAGTGCAAGTTCACTTACTGTGAATGTGGCAAAGAATGCACATACTCAGGCAGCGTATCAAACCAAACCATGCTTGATCTCTTCTATGAATATTACGATTCTTTGGGTCCCATTTGACTTACTTGAAAAAAATTTTACTGTGGCAAGATCCTCTCCCTTCCTGTGTTTCGAATTAGCAAGATGTTACGTGGCCTAGCAAGCCTATGGGGACAGGCTGAGAGAGATGGTACTCTTCTGCTTAAAGAAGGAAAGGCTGTGGGGGGGACATTATAGTGGCCTTCCAGTAACTGACGGGGGCTCACAGAAAAATTGAGAGCCTTTTTGTGAGGGCATGTAGTGACAGGATGAGGGGAAATGGCTTTAAACTGGAAGAGGGTAGATTTAGTCTAGATATCAGAAAGGAACTCTTACTATGAGGGTGGTGAGACACTGGAACAGGTTGCCCAGTGAGGCTGTGGATGCCCCCTCCCTGGAAGCATTCAAGGCCAGGCTGGATGGGGCTTTGAGCAACCTGGTCTAGAGAGAGGTGTCTCTGCCTATAGCAGGGGTGCTGGTACTAGATGATCTTAAAGGTCTCTTCCAACCCAAATCATTCTATGATTCTGTGGTCTCCAGGGAAAATTTATCTTCTCAGTTTTATGCTGGAAAGTGGGATATACAACACAGTAAAAGATCTAAGAAACACTTAGACATTTATTGTGAAATGAAATGAAGATGTCTTCTATTTACAGTACTTTTCATGTTTGTAAAATTAATTTTTAAATTAACAGACTTTCTGCCTGTTGATACTCTTGTAATCTCCTTTGTTCAGCCTAGGCCATTCAGCCCTCCACTGACCTCTAATTCAAGTCCACCACCTGCAGCTCCCTTGGCACGTGCAGAGAGCATCTCCTCAATATCCTCCTCTGCTTCCCTTAGTGCAGCAAATACACCTACAGTTGGTAAGTTACATTAACCATGTTAACTTATTTACCATATTCACTTGCTAGTGGTGGCCTAATTCTGCCACTAGGTTTTGCTTCTTATGAAAACCATTCCTTGCATTTAGTGGTTCCATGTGTAAGTCTAGTCTGGGTACCTCAAGTATCCTTTGAAATACCTACCTGTAATTGACAGGACAGTGTTCTGTCCTATCAGAACAGTTCATTTGAATAGAGTAGATCACTGATCTGATTTTGACTTGTTCTTTAGTGAAAGATTTCTCAAAACTGGAATGCTGTATAACTTTGTGTTTTGTGTTTCTGTGTATGTGTTCATCAGGCACAGCATGTTATCGTGTACTTGTTCAAAATTCATTCTAAATGCAGAAATATTTAAGGATGCTTATAAACTTGAATGAATACGGATGTTCAAAACAGAATGTATATGCTCTTTGTATTTGCTTTTTATTGTTATAATTTTAGTTTCCAAGAAAAAAACACAAAAACATGCATCTTTTCAAATTATTTAAGCGTATTACCTAACCAGAGCTTGTTGATAAAAATGTGAAAAATAGCCAAAAACAATGAAGATGAAAAGCAGATTGTCACAAGTTTCAGAAGATTTTCTCATGTTTGTAGGGAAGAGTCCTTGAGTTTTTATATTTGGTTATAACAAACAGTAAGGAGATTTCAGAAGTGTTTTGTTTGCTTTTTTTGTTGTTGTTTTAAGTACATTTTAACTTGCTTCTTTAGCAAAATTGTAATATTTCATTCCTGAATGGTATTACATTTCAATCCCAAGTCAGATTTTCAGTCAGTAGTTATCTGTGAATGTTACTGATACCAAGGATTTCTCAGACAGGCTCAGCATCTCTGGAGAGCATCCACACAGCTTCCTAGGGAGTATTACACCTGTGAGGAAGTACAACAGTTTTTTCCTTCTGCAAAACCTAAGCTAGTAAGCATCAGATGCTGTGGTAGCAGCACAGTTCAATGTTTACTAATTACCAAATGCTGAGAACCATCACAGAAAGATAACTGATATTTTATCAGTTTTTTTTTTTTTTTATTTATAAAATATTTTATACTTTAATTGGTATTATAACTGATGTGGTCAAAGTCCATCCGTACTCGCTTCCTCAGGCCTTAGCAGCTAGTGGCAGCAGCCTCAATAGCTCCAGTTCTCTGCATATGCATGAGTGTACGAGGAAAATGGTAAGGAAGCGTGTGCTGCCACAGGGCTTTGGCATGGTTATTAACCTGGTCTAGCAAAAATAAATGGGCTCAATTCTGTTTTCTTAGTGTGTTGGAATTAAATAGCCCTGGAGAGAGGTGGGTGCAGAATGCTGAATGATGTTGGGGCATGAGGATGCTCTACACTACTGTCTATATTCTTTCAGCTTTTGCACAGTGCAATGTTTGCCATACTCTATTCTGAATAATGCAGAGGTCAATGTGAACTTGTAGGCATATTTCTTTTATGTGTCAGAATTATATTCATATGCAGAGAATTTATGTATGTGAATTAACATCTACTTTTGCTTGAAATATTTTGTTTTCTTGCAATGTTTTGTTTCATTTAAACATAATAGAGGATGATCTTTTGATTGGAACACTCCCTACAATAGAAAAGCTTTGTGACACACCACCAGGTATTGTATTAGATGCAGATTTACATGTTAACTAATCATCCTAATACAGTGCAGCTAATAAAATTGCATTTCTTTCAAAAAAAAATTTTCTCCAGCCATTTTTGGTGTCTGGCAGATGCAAGTAGCTTGAGAGTTCAACTGCTTATATATTCAAAATCACCAAAACTTGGTATAACTACTTTAATATGTTATGATCTTTTATCTATCCCTCCAAAACAAGTCAAAACCTGGTCTCTTGCCTTCAATTTTGCATTACAACTTTCATTCAAGATAGAATATGTTTTAACTGATAATCCTCATTCTCTTCAGATAAGTCAGGTAATTTTTTAATATTTTTTCATATAATACAAAGCTATGAAGATATAAATAAATTAGGGTATACTTTTTTTTTTCTAAATAAAAAAAAAGTTTAGTCAGTATTAAAATTATCCAACTTTTTGTGCCTAAAGTGATCTGAAACCACTTGATGAAATACTCTCCTATCTGTGACCAGTGATGCAGTCTTTTTTTCTGCAGCTTGCCATCCTTCTTGTCCATGTCAGTGCCACTACATGTCAACATAGCTGAGAGGGTGTTATTGTTGGTCAGGTTGAGGCAGATAGCAAGGCATCAAGACAAGCTGAGCTAGTCCTCAGCTACTCCTAAATGCTTGAGCTGCAATCCAGGATGGCACAGTTTTGTGGCATCCTATCCCTCTGAGAGGTTGCAGCTAACTGGAAGCACTGAAGCAGGATATTGCTGCATTACATTTTTAGACGTATTTTTTGAGCTGCAAGGCAACAAAACAATTATATCTGTTGTTCAGTTAGCCAGGTATATATCCTTCAGTTTATTGGTTTTTAGCAAAGTGCTTAGATTATCATTAATAATAAGTGATCTTGAAGAGTAAGGGCTGCACAATTAAGTAGTCATTCAGATACATCTCAGAGAGATGCATAAATGTATATGTTTGCTTTAGTGTTAACAGCAAAATGTAAAAATAAACTTATTGTTCCTAACAAGTTTCCCTATTCTGTCAATAAATGAATATTTTTCTTTTACTGATAGAAAAATAATTTAAGTATTCATATTACATAATTTTCAAATGTCAATATAAAGGTTTATATTTATTTACAAGGCTATTGTAAGTTTTATATAGAATGGATAAATCTGTGAATAGTCTGATAATTAATAAACAAATAAATAAATAATATACTGCAATTGTTTGTTTTCCATCAAATGCATATTTTGGCATGGATGGAGAATACTTCTGGAGCTTAGTGATTCATCAAACAATTTCTTGAACAGAATGAATCTGATTGTTACAATTTTTTTGAAGTCATCACTTTTGGATTCCTAAGACTACTGAGAATCACAGGGTTTTTTTGCTAAATTTCAGGAAGAGACGTAAACACTGGAAACTTCACCCATGTGTGCTCTGAAAGAACAGTAAAAGTTACTTACTGTTCATTGAAATAATTATTATTAAAAAAAAAAAAAAAAGAGCCAGCATCATATTAATTCATTCACTGAAGAATTTTTTGTTCTGAACACTTGTGGCCAGAGCAATGCTTTGCATCTAAGCAGTCCTGAAGCTGCTCTAACACTTTTTCGTAGTGCTAGGAAGTATTCTGAACATTTTAATACTTTAGGGAACAAATCTTTATAGAGAGCAAGTTACAAAAGTATCAAAATTAGACCAACTCTCCTATCTTTTCCTATCCATTTGTTTCACTTTCCAGTTGTTGGCTCTTTCACTTATCTCTGAATTTACATGTACAATCTCATATTAGACCTTCCTTGAGGAGCAAGGTTCTGACTTCCTTTCTGTTTATGGAAGAGCTCAGAAGGCACAGATGCTAAGGTAGAGTTTGTAGGCTTAGTATACCATTGGCAATGTTACACAGGATTTTGTTTCTACTTTATGATACGAAGTTAATTTCTCATTTTGTTCATGACATGGCAAAAAACCTTATCTTCCTTTTGGTAAATACATTATGTGATATAAACCTGTTCAGTGATATGAAAAATGATTAAGATGCTCTCTGGTATGCTGCTGTGCTAGTAAAGAAGATGAAACCTAGTTTTACAGTTTATATTAAGTAGCTGGCTCCACATGGAAAACACCAGGAGAAAGTAAAATCCCATGACAGTCAGTTTTGTTGGTTGCACAGTTTTAAAAAAGCCTCAGCATGAGGTCTGAGTTGTTTTTTGTAGCTCTACATTTTAACTCTGTTGTGTATGCACAGGAACCTATGAAGGCTGATACAAGCCTGATAATTACTTTTCTTGTGAACTGCTGTGTGTGTCCAGGTATTTCCAAGATATTCCTATACATGTTAGAAAACTTAGCAAAATATTTTTACAGTAATTTCTGCACAGAAATTCTAACCTTTGTTGGCTGAAATAGTTAAAAGGATATTCAACAATTCACTACTGTGGGGTAATATTAATGTGTTTGTATGTAAGTTCATAAAAACTGTAGCTGAATTCTTTGCATTTCCCTGACCACTTTATCATACATTTTTCCATGCAGCAAGCATACAGTAGGTTTTGTGTTTTGTTTTTTAACGTATTGTAGCTAATGTCTAATGTCTTTTGAATCTGCTGACTTTGGTGTCATTCTTAGCCATTTTAGTGCAGCATTTTCTGCGTCTCACGTATATTTCTGTATGTCTGTCCATTGGCAATATGTCATACCAGTAGTCCTGTTTTCTTAGGCTGCTAAGCAGTGTTTTGGTGGTGTAATTGTACTGTACAATGTTTTGTCCTAATAGTGTTCAAGTACTACTTCAGGCTCTACTGTGATCTTGATGGTAGTAATGTCTTGTGAAAATGACAGGCGTCAACCGTTCTGAAATCTATTGCTAAGCTTTTACAAGTTAAATCTATACACTGTATGTATTCTAGGTGTTTCACGTGGTCCCAGCCCTGTCAGCCTTGGAAACCAGGACACCCTGCCTGTCGCTGTAGCCCTTACTGAATCTGTTAACGCCTACTTTAAAGGAGCAGATCCCACAAAGTTAGTTAAATAGTAAATTGTTTTGAATGTAATAAGTTACAATAAGAAAACACACTGTTTTGTATTTATAATGTGTTGGGGAAAATATATATGCATTGGTAAGGGGGTTCACCAGGCTTTTTCCCCTAGTGTAAGTAACAGCAGTGGCTCATTGCTCTCTATTGTCTTGCTTGGAGTTCATATATATCTGCTTTACAAAAATGTGTTCAGTGAGAATACTGAAAATGAGAAGGGTTTTTGTCACAGTTGTGTACTTTTGTGTGTAATTTTGGGCAGCTGTAAAAGCACCTCATTCACCCTGTCACATCCCTTTCTATGCTACGTAGGCCTTGCCTAAGCATAGCTGTGCCATGTTTTCAAAGCCTGAAAAATATCTGGAGACTACTGTATGCTTAAGCAGCTGTACTTTTGTTTTCACTTACTTCACCTGATTTTCAATTTGAAAGTGATAATAACGTTGTCACATGTGATAATTACAGTGCCACATTATCCTCATTTAAAATTGATTTTCTGTTATGAATTCAGCTTATCAGATTGCAAAAGTATAGTGATTGCTTTACAGTCAGCGTTAAAATTAGGAAGTTAATGAGTTGCAATAAAAACAATATTTTTACTCTCCTAGATGTATTGTGAAGATCACTGGTGATATGACAGTATCATTCCCAAGTGGGATTATTAAAGTCTTCACCAGCAACCCATCTCCAGCTGTGCTCTGCTTCAGGGTAAAAAACACAAGCAAACTAGAGCAGATTCTTCCAAATGCACAACTTGTATACAGGTTTTGTATTATTTTTTTTATACAGTAGTAAATTACATGATTTCTAAAATGCAAATTGTTGTATACATGTCAGAGTTCTCTACAGTCTTGTTCATTTGTTTATACTTGATTCAATCTCACTAATTAATCTTGTTTACCTAATTTTTTCTCTGCTGCCACCACTAGAATTCTCAGTAATTCACTGGTTCTGAAACTTACACTGGGTATAACAGGAACCATAAAAAATAGTTTGCAAATGTAGCTGTGTTTTTACACGTTTTATAGATGAAGTGATTTCATAAACAATTTTTAAAAAAGTTTGACTTTTTTTCTAGTCAAACTACATGAACTGATTACAGATATGAAGAAAAAATGTCAAACTAGGATATATGGATTTCTGTATACAGTGACAACAATGTCTTTGGGTGATGAAACAGTAGTTAAATAGTAGGAGCTATGCCTAATCTCAGTTGTCAGTTAAAAGTTTATTTCTTAAGCTGTATAATTTTTACAGTAGACCAAAATAATTACATATTTATTTATTTCAAGTGTACAGCAATGTGCTTTGTAGAGTCCTTAAGAAAAATATGCTCCTGAATGAGCAGAATAATTGTTGAAATCATAGCATTGTGATTTCTTTTCCAAAATTCAGGGCAATTGTAAAAACTGTATTTATTTAGCAGGGATTTCTTACAGCTGAGCAGTTTCTGTTTCACTGAGTAGAGAAATTATTTGAAAAGCAGTTAAGCATTTATTGGTAGTACATTTTTTTACATTACTGAAATAGCTGAAAGAATTAAGCTGTATGCATCACTTCTTTTGTATTTAATTTCATTTTGATCACTCACAGTTACATTTCAGCATACAGAGTGAATTGTACTGAAAAAGTATATTTTGAAAATAATAGGAAAATGTCTAGTATTTTATCTGTGTGCTGTAGCACTTCACTTCTAATTAGAAATAACGCATGTAAAGGACTCTTAGGAAGTTTAAGCCATGTGGAGCAATACGACTTTTCATCATATCCTCTTAGGCTGTCATTTGCTCAGTATTTATAAAAATGGCAGATTTTTATGAGAGTGATATGAGATATATGAGAGATATGGGAGTGAGCGGAAACACCAGAAGTTGTTTTGGATTGCACCTAACGTCATCTAAGGTCCCTGTAGGGATAAGCAAGTGTTGATCTACATTTTAGTAAAGGTTGAAGTAGCAGGAGTCACAATACTGTGCTGAGAGCCAAAATCAAAGCAAATCAAAGAGGCTAGTGGTGTGTAAGACACTGTCCCAGTGTCAAGCCATTGCACTTATATTCTCTGTGTTCCAAGTGTTCATTGTCAGCTTCAGTCTGCATGTGCATTCAGCAGATCTCCTTAGCAGTGACTGCAGTTTCTCACTATATCCACCAATATCCAGTGCAGCCTTTTAATTGATATATGATTTGAATTTTGTTTCTGAATTGAATAGAATCTTCATTGTTTTTCTTTTCAAAATACACCTGCTGCAACCAGTGCTCAAGTTATTCTTGATGTGCAAAGGTACTGGGAAAAAAAAAAAAAAAAGACTACTTACATTGAATTTAACAGTAAGTACCTGAAAGACCTGAAAGACAATAGTTTATAGCAATTTGGGAACTGTTTTCGAAGTAAAAAATTTAGGGAGCTTACATTTTCTACGTACGTGAAAATATGGTAACACATACAGCACAAGTCTTAGTGATGTTGTATCCAAAATGAATTACATTTTCTAGGTCTTATTCCAGATTAGATAATAATTCTTCTGGAAGACCCCTTTTACATGACCTCATCATGCACATTCTCACAGCACCAGATAATATTGAGAGTGGATTTTAATAAACATAAAAACTGAACCTGTCTGAATCTGAACCTCTCTGCACCTTGTGCTGTCAGTCGTCAGTGGAGAAAACTTATTGCTCCATGGAAGGAGAATTTTAACCAGACAAGAAAAGCAGTTAATTTCCCTTAATATTAAGAAAAGCACAACTATGTGATATAAAGCATTAGAACAAACAGTTGCGTTAAACAGTGAATGAGGGAAAAGATCTATTTTTAAGTTTTAGACATTTTTAGAAGTAATAGCTTTCAGTGCTGATTCCTACCTTTCTTTTTCTTTGTAGTGATCAGTCTCAAAGTGACTCCACTACGAGGGATTTTTGGATGAACATGCAAGCTATAACTCTCTACCTCAAGAAATTATCAGAGCAGAACCCATCTGCATCCTATTATAATGTGGATGTTTTAAAGTATCAGGTAAACATTTTTTTCCTTTTGGAATTTTGTAAGAAATGCTGTCTGATTCCATATGTGTTCAGAAATGAGAACTGTTCTTTGCCTGATAGCATGCAGATGAACTGTCATCCTGCATCCTGCAATTGTCATGTAGATCAGTTCTGGATACATCAGTGTCTCTAATTCATAGGCCTTACTGTTATGCCTTATGTCATTCCCATGCATTTATGACCTGTTTCATCTTGTTCAAACTCCTGTACAGTCCAAGTATGAAAATGCTGAATGGTGCTACTTTTAGGTGTTTGTTAGCAAAGCCAAGTTTTCCTTGAATTTATACATCTACAGGTTTTTGTTTGAGTTTGTAATTCAATTGTGTATGCTTTTGTAATTGCATAGTTTTGGGATGCTGTCATTGATCAGATATAATACATAAGATTATATGATGTTCCCTCTCCTCACGATAAAATGAAACAGCCTATCCTGAAAACCACTTTGAAGCACATAAAGGCCAGAGAGATCAGGAATAGTTATCAGACTAACTTGATAACTTTCTGTGATGAAACAGCTGGCTTAGTAGATGAGGGGAGAGAAGTGGATGTTGTCTGCCTAGACTTCAGTAAGGTTTATGACACTATCTTCCATAAGATCATCACGGTGGAGCAGTAGAATTATCAGCTGGGTAAGCAAACAGTGAGGTAGATTAAATGGCTGAATAGCTGTGCACGGAAGGAGTTGATCTGTAGTGCAAATTCTAGCTGGAGGCCTGTGAGTAGTGGTGTACCTCAGTGGTCAGTAGTGGATCATGCCCTGGTTCACAGTATTGAAGCAGTTGGAAGGGACCTCTGGAGATCATCTAGTCCAACCCTTTGCTAAAGCAGGTTCCCCACAGTAGGTTGCACAGGAAAGCATCTGGATCTTCATTAAGGATTTGTATGGTGGAGAGGAATTCACCATCAGCAAGTTTACATATGACACAAAACTGGGAGAAGTGGCTGATATGCTAAGTGATCATGCTGCCATCCAGAGAGACTAAATTTGAGGAAAAGGGCTGCCAGGAGCATCATTAACTTCAACAGAAAGAAGTGCAAAACCCTGCATCTGAGGAGGAACAGCCAGCTGGAAAGCAGCTTGTTAGAAAAGACCTGGTAATCCCAGTGGACACTGTATTGAACAGGAGTGCTGGCACTGTATCCCTGTGGAAAAGAAGGCCAGTGGTATCCTGGGCTGCATTAGGAGGAGCATTACCAATAGGCTGAGTGAAGTGATCCCTCCATTCTGCTCAGCACTGATATGGGTATAGCTGGAATCCAATCCTGTACTCCTTGGTATGAGAGAGACTTGCAGACATTTAAGAGTCCAGCAGAGGGTCACACAGATTATGAAAAGGAAAGGGTTTGAAGCACCTTTCCTGTGAGGAGAGGCTGAGAGAGCTGGGACTGTTGAACCTAGGGAAGAGGAGCCTCAGGGGCAATCTTACCAATGTCTATAAGTATCTGAAGGAAGGGCACAAATTGACCAGAGCCAGACTCTCTTCAGTTGTGCTTGAGGACAGTAAAAACTTTGGTGCCCAGAGACAGGACAGGGAAAAGGCTGGGATACTGAACAAGTACCAATGAGAAGTTTTGCCTGACCATATTTATTACTGCAAGGATGACCAAGCAGTGTCACAGATTGCCTGGAGAATTTGTGGAAACTTCCTTCCTGACATACTTCAAAGCTGTTTAGACATGGGCTACTGGCTCTAGGATGCCCTGTTTGAGACAGAGAGATTGAACCAGGTGATATCCAGAGGTCCCTTCCAACCTCAGCCACAGTGTGACTCTGTGGGAAGACGTTCTGGCTGTCAGCAAAAAATCTTCATAAAAATTAAGGAACAGTGCGTTCATCTAAAAGAGAAAACAAGGATTTCCTTTCCCTGCATTGAGATAATTGGATTTCTGAGCCAACTGCCTTTACATTCTAAAAATAAATAAATAATTCAGTGCAGCTATTAATGCTACTGTAGCTTTCTATATCTTCACATTATTCTGCCAGACTGAATTTATAAAAAATATGCTAAATCCAAAGATTTGGAATGTTGGAGGAAAATAATTTTTTCTTTGGATTTCAGAAATGAGCTCTGTGGGAAAAGGAAAGTTACATAAGGTCTTTACCATTAGGGTAAAATGAGACACAGGCACAAAAAAGCCATGGTGGATGGAACGAGTCCTGAGGTGCCAACAAAACAAAATGGGAAATGGAAAGTTCCTCAAGTAGATTAGGATGATAATAGGGGTGTGTAGCAGGGCAGCAACATGAGCTGAAAAGCAGCAGCTGCCAACTCTCCTGCACCAGCAAAATAATGTTTTTAATACGTAAGAACTGTTCTGGCAATATGTCCAATGACGTGTCCTTTGCTGCTTGCTGTTGAGACATCTGAGATGATATGCCACATAACTGCTAAGGATTAATTCATTTTCGTACAGGCAGCTTTCTTGTGTGAAGTAGAGTACAAGGCTAAAACAAAACTATTCTGATCCAAGAAAGCCAAAGCAGGAAGAAGTCTCATGGGTCAGAAGGAGTTTAACTCGTTTTTTAAAATAATTTAGTTTAAATTTAAAAGAATGGGAATTACTGTCAGCTATGACAGTCTTCAGAATTCTGAGATTAAAGGCTCAGATGTGAATTGTTCTTTTGATCTTTTGTCAAAATTTATAGCTATTACAATCATTCCATATTTCTACCCAGAAAGGGAGAGACTTTAATTAAGCTGCTTTCAATGGTTTATTTTTTTAAAGGTATCTTCGAATGGCATCCAGTCCACTCCCTTGAATCTTGCAACTTACTGGAAATGTAATGCTAACACTACTGATGTGAGAGTGGATTATAAATACAATCCAGAGTCTATGAATGTGCCCAGCATGCTGTCTAATGTACAGATTGTGGTACCGGTAGATGGAGGAGTAACCAACATGCAATCACTTCCACCTGCAAAATGGTAATGTTTTTACTTTTCTTTGTGTTATTTCATATTCTTTTCAGTGTATTCATTAGTTTTATAGCTGAAAAAAATTTCATTGAAGGAAACGGCTGTTTGTGTTTTTTCTTTTTTGCAAAGAAAATGCACAGGATGTTTTCTGGTCCAAAACAGACCACGTGCAACCAATTCATATAAACTGAGATGAGACTATGAGCAGCCATTCCAACCTTTGTGAAATTTCCAATGTTTGCTTTCTTTTGCTCCAACAAACAGGACAGTTATTTAAGTAATGTGATTTGAAACCAAAATCTCATAGTGGTAAAAAAAAATTATCATCATAGAATCATAGAAGGGCTTGGGTTGAAAGGAACCTTAACGATCATCTAGTTGCAATGCAGTGGGTAGGGCTGCCACCCACTAGACCATATGGTTTATTGTATATGTGCTCAGATATAGACGAAACTCTGGTGTGATATCAGTGCTGTTGTAGCCACAGCTGTGGAACATAGAACTGTATGGGCTGCTGTGGGGAAAGTGAACTCCATGCCAGCCAGACCCAGCACTTCTATCCCTCAGTCTGCAACATTTATGCGTGTTCCACATACTTTATTATATTTGTATCCTCCGATAATCATTACATCTAACATACAGGTTTATACATTCTCATCAGCCCTGTTCCCCATCTCTTAATAGATATATAGATACTATTTACCCATTTCATGTACCTCTCCCTAAGTATCTGTGGGAACCAGCAATGACTTAGACCTCATCCCTAGGAGGCCACTCAAGGCAGGAAAAGCAGCATGTTGGATTCCTGGACGCCAGGAGCTTAGCTTGAGACATTGCTGCTTCCTTGCAAAGATGACCTGTCAGTGGTTCTGCAGTGTGATTCTGTAACATATTCATGCAACATACAGCATCATCCTAATTATTACCTGCCACCACTTTCTAAGCTCGCAGGCCACTTGCAGCTGCACTTGAAAGTGAGGCATAAACAGTATATTTGTATAAATTTGTGCAAACAAGCAGAAGGTAATGGCAGGGGGCAGAGAAGTACCTCCATGGATTGAAAAGCAAGCAGAATTCAAGCACTGCACTTGTAGCTTGGCAACTTGTGTATACTTGCTCTTTGTAATTTAACTCCAGGACAATTTATTTCCCAAGTGACAAGAGGGTCTTATTAACTGAGGAGGACATGGAGGTTAAGAGAGAGAAGTATACCAAGCTGAAGGGAGTAAGATCTTCTTATATATTACGGTTCAGAGGAAGAATAAACCGTTTATCAGATAGGTTTTGATGTTTCTGGAGGCAGTCCTCTTAACTGTGTGACTTGGAGAAAGTTGTAACACAGTATCATTGTAAGTAGAAAAAAAATGTGTCAAAATTGATAGTTGTTACTGTATTTTGAGAGAGTGAAACTCTTAACCAGAACACCTTAACCTTATTCTACTGCAGCAGATTCAGTGCACATGCAAAACAAGACCAGTAGTTCTGGTGAAGCTTGTTTTCCCTCCCCTCGTCCAACCTTCTTCCACAAACCCATCAGTTGTGAAACCTCAGTCAAAGCAGGAATCACAGAATCACAGAATTGTAGGGGTTGGAAGGGACCTCCAGAGATCATCGAGTCCAACCCCCTGCCAAAGCAGGTTCCCTACAGCAGGTCGCACAGGTAGGCATCCAGGCAGGTCTGGAACATCTCCAGAGAAGGAGACTCCACCACCTCCCTGGGCAGCCTGTTCCAGTGCTCCGTCACCTCACTCTAAAGAAGTTCTCACACACATTTGTGCAGAACTTCCTATGCTGCAGTTTCCGGCCGTTTCCCCTTGTCCTGTCTCCACTCACCACTGAAAAGAGTCCGGCCTCACCATTCTGCCCCCCACACCTCAGATATTTATAGACCTGGATCAGGTCCCCTCTCAGTCTTCTTTTCTCAAGGCTGAACAGACCCAGATCACTCAGCCTTTCCTCATAGCAGAGATGCTCCAGGCCCTTCACCATCTTTGTGGCCCTCCGCTGGACTCTTTCCAAGAGATCCCTGTCTTTTTTGTACTGGGGAGCCCAGAACTGGACGCAGTGCTCCAGATGAGTCCTCACCAGGGCAGAGTAGAGGGGGAGGATCACCTCCCTCAACCTGCTGGCCATGTTCTTTTTAATGCACCCCAGAATGTCATTGGCCTTTTTGGCCACCAGGGCACACTGCTGGCTCATGGCCAACCTGTCGTCCACCAGGACACCCAGGTTCCTCTCCGCAGAGCTCCTCTCCAGCAGGTCATCCCCCACCTGTATTGGTGCATGCAATTATTGCTCCCTAGATGCAAGACTCTACACTTGCTTTTGTTGAACCTCATCTGGTTTCTTACTGCCCAGCTCTCCAGCCTGTCCAGGTCTCGCTGCACTATCCCCTCATCAAGGTCATTGATGAAGATGTTGAACGAGTCCAGACCCAGCACCGATCCCTGAGGAACACCACTGGTTACAGGTCTCCAGCCAGACTCTGCATCGCCAACAACGACCCTCTGCGCTCTGCCAGTCAGCCAGTTGTCAGTCCACCTCACTGTCCACTCATCTATCCCACACTTCTTCAGCTTTGTTATAAGGATGTCATGGGGGACAGTATCAAAAGCCTTGCTGAAATCAAGGTAGACTGCATCCACTGCTCTCCCCCCATCCAGTGACAACATCACAGAAGGCTACCAGGTTGGTCAAGCATGACCTCCCCTGGTGAACCCATGCTGACTACTCCTGATAACCTCCTTTTCATCCAGTTGTCTGGAGATGACATCCAGCACCAGCTGTTCCATCACCTTTCCAGGGACAGAGGTGAGGCTGACTGGCCTGTAATTACCTAGATCTTCCTTCTTGCCCTTTTTGAAGACCAGAGTGACATTGGCTATCCTCCAGTCTTCAGGCATCTCCCCCATTCTCCAAGACCTCTCAAAGATGACAGCAGTTCAGCAATCACCTCTGCCAGCTCCCTCAGCACCCATGCATGCATCCATCGGGTCCCATGGATTTATGAGCATTGGTATTGCCTAGGCGCTTATGGATTGCCTCTTCCCTGACTGAAGGGAAGTCTTCCATTCCCCAGACCTTCTCACTAACCTCCAGGGTTCGGGATTCCCGAGCGAGAGCTTTTTCACTGAGGACAGAAGCAAAGAAGGCATTTAGTATCTCTGCCTTCTCAGTATTCCCTGTTACCAGAACACCTCCCTCACGTAGTAGGGGAGCAGCATTCTCTCTAGTCTTCCTTTTACTGTTAACATACTTAAAAAACCTTTTTTTATTATCCTTTTTCACCTTTGCCAGATTCAGTTCCAGGCAGGCTTTAGCCTTCCTTGTCACATCCCTGCAGGCCCTGACATTTCTGTATTCTTCCCAAGTGGTCAGACTCTTCTTCTACATTTCATAGGCCTTCTTCTTCCCTTTGAGTTTGTGCATGAGCTCCTTGTTCATCCACACAGGTCTCCTGTCACCCTTTCCTGATTTCTTGCTCACAGGGATGCACTGATCCTGAGCTTGGAAGAAGAGCTGTTTAAATGCTGAACAGCTCTCACAGGCCCCCTTGCCTTCTAACACCCTAGCCCATGGGATAGCTCCAAGAAGGTCCCGGAAGAGATCAAATTTGGCTCTCCTAAAGTCCAGGGTAGCAATCCTACTTTTTGCTTTGCTTCTTCCACTCAAGATCTTGAACTCCACTATCTTGTGGTCACTACAACCCAAGCTGCCCCCAGCGTTTACTTCCTTGACAAGCCCTTCCTTATTAGTGAGAATAAGGTCCAGCAGTGCCCCTCTCCTCATCGGTTCCTCCTCCACCTGCACCAGGAAGTTGTCTTCAACACATTGCAGAACCGTCTGGACCGCGCACCCCTGGCCATGTTGCTTTTCCAGCAAATATCTGGATAATTGAAGTCCCCCATAAGCACCAGCGCCTGGGATCGTGACGCTGCTTCCAGTTGCTTGTGGAAGGCCTCATCAACCTCCTCCTCCTGATCAGGGGGCCTGTAGCACACACCCACAACAGTGTCACCCATACCAGCCTGCTCCTTGATTCTCATCCACAAGCTCTCCACTGCTACACCACTCTCCCCCAGGTGGAGTTCAATACATTTTAGCTGCTCTCTCACATAAAGTGCAACTCCACCACCCCGCCTTGACAGCAGATCTTCCTAAAAAGCACATAGCCCTCCATGACAACATTCCAGTCACGCGAGCTGTCCCACCACGTCTCTGTGATCGCAATGAGATCATAGCCATGTGACCGCACGCAGATCTCCAACTCTTCCTGTTTATTTCCCATACTGCACGCATTAGTGTACAGACACTTTAGGGAAGCAGCATCCCCCTGCCATTCTCCATCCTTTTGAACTCCACCCTCATCACCCATCAAGCACTGTTTTGAGCCTCCAACTACCTGCTCAACCCCAGTGGCCCTCATTTTGTCCCCTTCCCCCTTCTTACCCAGTTTAAATACCTTTCAATGAGTCCCGCCAGTTCCTGGGCTGGGATCCTTTTACCCCTTGCAGACAGGTGAGCTCCATCTGCAGCCATCATGCCAGGTGCCGAGTAAATTGCCCCATGGTCAAAAAAACCAAAATTCTTGTGTTTGCACCGACCTCTGAGCCATTTATCAATGAGGAGGGTTTTTTTGATCCTCTCAGTGTCCTTCCCCACCACTGAAGGGATAGAAGAGAAAACCATCTGCATGCCCACTCCATCAAGTACCCTCTCCAGTCCCTTGAAGTCATTTTTGATAGCTCTCAGGCTTCCCTCAGCAGCAGCATCACTGCCAACTGAACTACCAGTAAGGCATAGTAATCAGATGGGCGAATAAGCCCAGGAAGCTTTCTAGAGATATCCCTGACCTGTGCCCTAGGGAGGCAGCACATTTCCCCACAGGTGGGGTCAGGCTGACATATCAGGCCCTCCATCCCAGTCAAAAGGGAGTCACCTACGACAACCACTCTTCTTTCCTTCCAGATGGAGGCAGTCTTGAGGCGTGGGGTCGACTGCTTCAGCCTCCCAGAATAGCCTCCCAGAACTCCTGGTGCTATCTAGGAAGGTTAAACATTTAGTGACAGCTTCAGAGAAGATTCATCACAATAAGGGACTCGAGCCAGGCTATTTTGCCTCTCACCGAGGGAACAACCCAAGGCTAGAATTTTGAGCTTTACGAGTTGACAAAAAAATAACTAGTCATATCGCAAACAGCTGTGTATTGTTTGTGTCATCCTGCATCTTTGTCCTAGAGGGTTGGGTGATGAGCTTTTGGGGTTTTTTAAGAATAAATGTTTTATAATTCTGCCTCCAGCATGTGACCATCTGTTCTGCTTGCATGAGCATTTCACTCCTGCTGTACCAATGCCAAAGACAATTTCAAACCTCTCAGCAATTCATGCCACTTACAGCTTTAAGTTGTTGGCTTTCCATTGATGAAATGATGCAAAGTGTTCAAAGAGATCAGATGTCTAGTTAGGAAACTCTAGAGCTTGGTACCTTTTTCTTTTTTCCCCCTCTACAGAGTCAGAAGTTAAACTGTGTCATAAATGTAAAGTATGTGTCACGTATGCCAGCTATTGTTTTATTAGAATGAAAATGTTCCCATTCGTACAGCCCAGAGTCTCGCATAGGTGAAAACAATCGACATTGTTCCCACTTGTACCATTGCCATCAAGCATAAAGATTCAGCTTTCAAACTTCTTCCAGTGTGTTTGGTCTGTCCCTGCTCTTTGAGACCACGCAGGCTTTGGAGTTGTCAGGTGGAGCCATTCCTGTACAGAGTACACTAGAGATTGTATAAAAAGGTGGCATGTACGTCTGAGCTCAGCTGCAAGCTCAGGTGCAGTGCACGTTTGCTTTGCACAGCTCTCTGCAAACCCGTGTTGAAATGATCAGTATTTTTATAAACTTTCATTTAGAAATGTAGGTTATGTGTGCATGGCCTTGTAAAGTACCTGGGTAAAGTTAGGGAAGTAAGATCCTGAAAATTGATGCTTGTAACAAACCAACCTTTCTCTCACAGGAATTCAGACCAGATGAAAGCTTACTGGAAACTATCTAGCATTTCAGAGAAATCTGAGAATGGAGGCAAGTTGAACTTTTTTTTTGTTCTACAGAAAAATGGTAACAGCAAAAATGTAATCATTTTAGCTTCTGCACCCTCATGCATGTATACACTTTATCTCATGTTGTATCCTGTTGACCAGTTCAACTTCTCAGTGAAGTTCCTCCTGAAAGATTCTGTTAAAAGTGAGATGCTAAAATATAAATAGTTAATTATAAAAGGAAAATTGGTGAAACCCTGGGAAGTTGTTAGCTCTAAAATAGATTTCAAACTGAAATAGGAAAATACTGCATCAATGCTATTTGAAAATGAACAGTCTTTGAAAGAAAAAATATGTTAAATATTTAATAAATTGTTCTGTTCTTTTTTTCACACACTGACAATTGAAATGAAGTGGAAAAAGTGGAAGAACTGGAATGAAAATGCTGTGCTAAGACAGGCTCAGCTACAGATTGTTCTTGACCAGCATTTGTTTTGGCAAATGGCTCCTGAAACAAATAAATAACAACAAAAAACCCATGCTACATGCTCAGAGCAGTAACTTATATAACATTGCTTTGTAAGGAATCAGTAGATATTTTCTGTCCAGCTGTCTTTCCCCGAAGGCCAGTTGATATCACAGTCCTTAGAACCTTTGTAGGTATGATGTTTTTCCAAATTAGAAAAACAGGGACAAAAGGGAAGCCTGGGAAGGGAAGACCTTTTCTGTTGCTGCAAAGACTGCAGATTTGTAGTGGTCATTCAAACAAAATTTGAGAGAATTTGATCTGGCAGAGGTTGTTGCTGTCATACAGTGTACTTCAATCATTCAATGACTTCACAGTTGTTTGCTTCCTGTCTTCAATCTGCTTTAATTATGTAGGGATAGCCTTCTCGTTTTTCATTTTTGTTACCAAATCTTTTAGAAGAACGAAGTCATGCTAAAACATGAATGCAGCCAGATGAAGAACTACTCCACACCTGCAGAGCAGCATAAAAAGGGCTCTCATTGACTCAGATCACAACTTCAGCAGATGTGAACATATCTGACTGATATCTATGACTTTATCTTCTCTTACTGACATCTTTTTCTTGAGCGTAAATACTTTGTACTCACAACCCAGTGAGAATATAATGCTATGAGAAGTTACAGAAGGACTGTTACTATTAGGACAAATGGCTTGAAGTACACTTTGTTCTGTGTATATGGTGGTAAAATGTGTATTTTTTACAGTCCAACACATTATGTGAGCTGTGAATTGCAGACGTATAAAACACAAAGCCAACTTTGAAATACTTGAATATATGAGCATCCAGTTACCCAAACTATGATACATCATTGAAGAAATGAAGTGGACTTTAAGGCAAATTTATCAGGAACAAGTCATTGCGTAAAACAATTTAATTCATTAATCCCTGTTTTTAACCCAGTAACTTTTTAGTCACTAACTTTCCTCATCAATTAGCAGTTCCTACTGACTAGGAATAGCAAGTTATTTTAAAGAAGTAAAAATTCTGGACTTTTACTATTCCATTATTATTTAAATCTCATTTTATCCCCACTAGATAGTGCAAGAACAAGAAAACACTTGGTTAAGAACTCAAAAAAAGGAGAAATAACAGTGTTTTTTAATGCCTTGTGCTATCCTACAGAAGTGTTACTAAAGTGATTAAGAACTATTACTGCTGTATAGCAACACTGAACTGAGCTTCACCCCTGTCTGTGAAAGATCAACAGAAGTGTTTTGGGAAATGTATTTAGTTGGATCTTGTCTTAATTAGAAAATTGAGGTTTTCTTTCCTTACTGGTTTCTATAGGTTCTGGATCCCTCAGGGCAAAATTTGAACTTTCAGAAGGACCCAGTAAACCAGCAACACTTGCAGTGCAATTCATAAGTGAAGGAAGCACTCTTTCAGGAGTAGATGTAGAGCTGGTAGGCACTGGCTATCGGCTTTCCCTCCTTAAGAAGAGATTTGCCACTGGTAAGATGCTGACATGCTTATATGTTCAAATTAATATTACATATTCTGTAGTGCTGTGTTACAGAACATTAAACTGTTGAACAGATGGCGTATAAATACTTACCTTTCCTTAAAACGTGGCTGAAAACTACTGGTGGTTTTTCATTTCCCCGTAGTTAGTCAAACTGCTCACAGGAAAATACTGACAAAATCTGTTTCATCAACTGACTGCAAGAAAAACCCTGTCTTTATTTTTCAGGACGGTATATGGCAGACTGCTGATGAACCTGTGAAAGTCGTGTCATTAAAGGAGTACAAGAAACCCACTCTGCCCCTTCTTCTTGTCAAACACTATTTTCACATGCATTATTTTTTTTTAAATATTGACCTACTTTGAGGCCAAACCACAGGACAGAAAATGCACTTTCAAAAGTCATTTTGAAGAGCTTGTATTACTTTATAATAGCACTGAAGTTAACTTCAACACTGTCTGTAAATGATCAACTGCAATATTGGGGAAACTTTGTTAAAATTTTGGTAAATTTATCTAGAAGTCAAAATAGTAATCAATAGTTGTAATGAAAGTATGAAATCGTACGCTATACTGTAAACATTAAACATAAAAATGTAGGAGAGCAAGTAAGAGTACTTGAGCTTTCCATAATACTCATTTTTCAGATTCCTTCATTGCCAGTTTTTAAAGAAAAAGGGGCAAACTTTTATGTAGTTCTTCTTGTGCCATAAAAATATTTGAGTTAGAGATGTATAAAAAACGTAACTTGATGCCCATGTATCATATATTATTAACGTGTATGTTGTTTTATATAGTGTTTTTTCTCCTAAGTGCAATGTGTTACAAAATTGCAAAAGACAGAAAAGATTTACTTCTGCAGTTAGTGAATTTTATGGGTGTTGTGATTGTTTGAATTAATGCTGTAGATTTAATTTATTTTTATATGAACTTCATAACATTTGTGCCTTTAAAAAAAAGCCTGTGCCTATCCAATTCGTTATTCATGTGCCTCACTTCCTCTTTCAAAGTTTGGCCATTTGTGAAGAAAGTGTGGTGTTTGTGTAATACAACTTCACAAAAATTCTTTTGATGGGGATCTAAAAGGGAGATCTGCAGAAGCTGGAGGTTGTTTTAAAGGAGATCAAAATGGTGGATTACTCCCTCATGGGGTAATTGCAATAAATGCATCCATAGTAAAGGGAGGTGCATCATGCAGGACTTTGGAATTTTGATGTACTAACTTTAACGTCACCAAAGATGAGAATCTTGAAAGGTGGTAACGATGCTTTTAAAAGAAACCAGCGTTTCCCTTTACACTGACTGCATTAAGTGCTTTTGGAATGATGTGAATGTAAGCAGTACTTTGGGAGGAATATCATTTAAGAAGGGGATATTATGGCAGCAAGATGACTGTACTGCCATTTCTATTAGTTTTACTTTTTCTCTGTAACTAGCAGTTTTAATATTTCTCTTCTGCTCTTCTTGCTGCAGCCTAAGAAAAGTGACACATTAGTAACATTTTTTAAAACAAGTAACTAGTTTAGAAAATCTTTTATGTATCTGTATTATCAAATGATTTTTTCAGTACAGAAATCAAAAAGTACTGGAGCAAAGTAATTTAATAACCTTCAAGTGGGAATTTTATATGACCATTCTGAATACTGAATCTATTTCAAATTCTCTATTAAGACAATAAAACTTGCTTGAATTAATTCATGCAAAACCAGTGGTGAATAGGACTGCTGAAGCTTTACAATACATTAAGCTTTAGAGAGGCTACATAAAATCTGATGTATGCTATACGTTTGGCAGATGGGATTGCCATTATTAGCTCTAAGGATATCTTGAACTTTACATCTGATTGGAAAAGTATATCTGGCTTTTAATTTGCTGATCTTATTGAGTGGAGAATTTCTAACGGATATGAAATGGTACAGTCTTTTTACTGGAGTCTTAATTGTAATCTGCTTTGCAATCAAACTGTGTTTAACATGACAGTGTTTCATTAATGAAAACCCAAAACTGTATAGCTGCTCTTAATGAACTATTGCTTCCATTTCTGAGTTAAATGAAGTAGCTACTTTTCAGCACTTTCAAACTAGTCCTCATTGGGGTGATTATAGATACATTTGCATTGGGTGCAGGTTACAATTTTGAAGCCATGCAAGCCTATATAGACTTTTTGTAAAGCAATTCAAAAACAGTGTAAAAAGTACATGTAGCAATCTGATGGGGAAGAGAAAAAAAAGCATGTAGCAAGCTGGTTCTTGCTTGTGTATACAGCCATTTCCTTTGTAGCTGCCTCTGAAAAAAAATTGATTTGTAAACACAACTCTAAAGGATCTGAGTTTTTGTGGATTATTACTACGTCAGACTGTAAATTAGAGCACACAAGTTTATCTTACAAAAATTGTAAATACTTCTGATTTTTCATAAAATGTAAATTTAAAAAATGTTGCACCCATAATAAACATGTAATATATAATTTAAATACTGATTTATATTGCTTATGCTTTTGCAGTCAATCCCACCGGGTTTCCGAGCGATAAAAAATATGATGAAACTGTGTCTGTACTAAATGTTTGTCAAGTGTTAATTGATTTGTAAGTAATACATGGCTTTGTAGAAGTGAGCTAGCTTGTTGCTGCTGTCTCTTAATAGAGCTACCAAGTGCTGCACATTCCACAACTTCTCTAATAAGCATATATTTTGTCAACTGTGCAGTTCCACAAAACAGGAGGTTATTTAAGTAATGCTGTTTCCACGGTCTCGAATAGTTCTTCAGAGCTGCAAGGACAGAAAGAGAAGTTGGAGCTGAACAAACATACGTTAGAATCTGTTTCTTTCCCACCGGTCCCACAGTCTGTACAGTTTAATAAGTAATGACTTATTAAATTGACTTTTTCAGCTGGCTGGATATCATTTCAGTAAGTACCATTCTTGTCACGCTGGAAAATAATAGTCCCAGGGTTTGATTATTATCTTCTGCTGCAAGATGGGAATGAAGAATGCAAGTGCCCCATGGCCACTGCCCTGTGGCCTGAACAAATTTCAGGCTAGCCTAGCTCAGGACTCTGTCTTCAGCAAAGGCAGAATAGTGAACTGTGGCAAGGAGAACTTCAAAGTCTTTTGCTTCCTACTCACTCAGCGTCCGCAGCCATTGGCTAGGGAAGTAAAAGGGTGCAGCTCTGCTCAGTCCTTCTAGTAGTCATTTAACTCACTGCCCTGGCATTTCTGTTAACATTTGACTTGTTACTGTAAGCCAGTGCCCCGCTGCTACTCAGAACTGGATTTATACTGCCCAAGCAGGGTTCTCATTATCAAAGTGCTTTATCAGGTAGTTTTTTGGGGGATAATGGACTACTTTTACAACTGCCAAATAACATTTATGTAAAGTATTTGAAGAAGATAAATTATTTGATAATCAGTGGAGCTGTGGGAGTTGCAGTATTGTGGGTTTTGCCATCTACTAGAAGAGAAGGTCTTGCATCATGCCTAAAAGCATTACATTTCAAGTTTCACGTTTGAGAAATTTAAGATGCATATCTTAATATCTGTGTACCTTTTGTTTTCTTGACATTGCTAGATAATTGGTTTCCATTTCAGTTGCCATGAAAGGGCAGTTTTACTTTAGAGCACGCAAGAAAAAGTTCAAATTCCTGCAAGGACAGAGTAAGCTAAAAACAGTTCAGGGAACTAAAGCAGCAAATAGCACACTTACCACAGGGTGCTCTGGATGGGACTGATTTCCAGGACTCTCTGTTCTGTGATTCTGTGAAAACCTGATGTTTATCTACAGCTGTGCATACTATTACACTACTCTGTATTCCTTCTCAATGCTGTTTAACCTCCATATTTCCTAATATGTTGATTTCTAGGCTCTCCTTTAGTTAATACCAGTAGAAAGCATCCAGCCTGTAAAGAATAAAGTAATCTTAGAAACACAAGAGGCCTCCTCTGAATTACTTCTGAATTACTTACAGTTACTACCCAGATTCTGCTTTTCTTCATCTGCTTTCATTTCAATTTTTATCCGTTATTTCTGGTTTTAAATCAGGGATGACTATTTTAATAATTACAACCTAAAGAATTACTTGGTTTGCTATTGTCCTAGTTTTTTTCTTGCTAAAACTTTTGTTCTGTAACTTAGCATGTTTTTCATTTCCAAACCTTAGCTGTTTAGAAACACTTATTGATGAAGGCATCAAATATAGAATCATACTTCATGTTAAGCTGCCTGGCTGGATGGCAGAGCCACAGAATCACAGAACGGCCTGGGTTGGAAGGGACCTCCAGGATCGTGAATCTCCAATCCCCCCGTCACATGCAGGGCCACCAACCTCCCCATTTAATATTAGTCCAGGCTCCCCAGGACCCAATCCAGCCTGCCCTTGAACACCTCTAGGGACAGGGCATCCACAACCTCTCTGGGCAGCCTGTTCCAGCACCTCACCACCCTCATAGTAAGGAACTTCCCCCTGACATCCAACCTAAATCTTCCCTCCCTCAACTTACAACCATTTCCCCTTGTCCTGCTGTTAACCACATAATTCTGTCAAGCAAGTCTCATTGCTTCATTGAATTTGTTGTTTATAGTCAGTTCAAACTAATTCTATAGGCAGGTGGTACTTCAAGGTCAACTTGAGATTTTGTTCATGCTTATAAAGCAGCAAATCCATGACTGACATCTCTATGCTAATTAAAAACAACTAAACTCAGGTAGAACACAGCTTCACAATGCACCAGCTGGGCAGCCTGGTACTGCCAAAACACAGAAGCCACGCTTCTCTTCACTCACTACACCTTGCACCAGCTCCAGCACGCTTTGTACCTTCCTGGGAGCCAACTCCACTCACTGACCAGACATAAATCAGATATATGCTAGGCTAGCCAGCATCAGGGTCTGGCAAACACCTCGTCTAAGAAGGGGCAGGGAATGAGATTTCGTCTTTGCAGCAACACATTGTACTCCTGGCTCAGATGCTCACTAAACCACAACCAGAGAGAACTGAAAGCAGCCAGCTCAGGTGACATAATGGAAGACTTTTCTTAATAGTGGCTATAAAACCAGAAGTTCTAAATTGTAAGAAATTGATAAGAAAAACAAATAAGCACTGGGGATAAGGAAGACCACGTAGATAGCTTAATCGAAGGTGATGGGGTTTATTTCAAATAATAAAAATCTTTTCCATTGTTTTACTGGACCCATGCTAAACGAAAATGCCAGAATCAGTAAGAACATACAAGAAAAGTAAGAAAAATACAAAAAAAAAAAAAAAGTGCCTAACAATTATTTTGTTACATTTGTTAAATAACACCTAAATTACATGGTGAAAATACTTTGCAATCCAACAGTATCTCAAAGAATGTGAACAATTCTTCTAGTAAATATTTTTAAACCTGCAGATCAATTGAAATTCAAGAATTTAGGAAGATATGTAAGTCATATTATAGACTACTAATTTTCATTTCTTGAATATTTAAGAAAGCATGAGGAGATTGGAAGAAAGCAAATACCGTATTAGTGCAAAAAAAGAACACAGAATATCCCAAGCTGGGAGGGACCCACAAGGGTGATCGAATCCAGCTCCACACAGCACCACCCAAAGTCCAACACTGTGTCTGAAATGTTCTCCACATCACAGAATTGCCAAGGTTGGAAAAGACCTCCAAGAATATCCAGTCCAAGTGCCTAAATGCTGCATGAAATCCAGCAGCTCGGGGCTGTGCCCACTGTGTGCAGTTGGCTCTCTGGGCTGCCTGGGCACGCTTCTGGCTCCTGTTCTACTTGCTGTCAATGAGTACCCCCAGATCCCTTTAGCAGGGCTACTCTCCAGTCTCTCTATATTCTATATTCTATATTACAAATAATTGTAATATAGAAATTACTTAGTGAGAAAACTGAAACACAGTTAAGACATTATCTACACTAGCTATTTGATTTTTAAACAAAGGACCTACTAATTTTTAAGGCATACATTTTAATTTAAGGAGGAAGTGATACAGAATTATCCCAGCCTGCACTTCACTGGTTGTAAAAGAAAACTGCAATGGTAAATATCACTCGTCATTTCAAACAGAACTTCAAGAGAACTGTCACAGCTGCAACTCTGATTAACAATTCTCCCTGGCCTATAACTTCTTAAAAAAATATTTTTCTTCTTTGTTTTTGAAAACTTATAGATCCTTCAGAGTACAGTTCATTCTTCTAAAACTGAAGCTGTGTACCCTTTAAACGTTACATCAAAAAGACAGCTTATATAATAGTTTGGGTGAATTGTCTCCACAAAAATTCTTGCCAGGGAGGGGGCATCCACAACCTCCTTGGGCAACCTGTGCATCACCACCCTCTGTGTGAAAAGCTTCCTTTTAATATCTAACAGAAACCTGCCCTGTCTCAGTTTAAGACCATTCCCCCTTGTCCTAGCACTGCGACCCTCATCATCAGCCATTCCCCTCCTCTTTATACGCTCCCCTCAAGTACTGGAAGGCCCTGGAGCCTTCTCTTCTCCAAGCTAAACAAGCGCAGTTCCTTCAACCTTTCTTCATAGGAGAGGTGCTCCAGCCCTCTGATCATCTTAGTGGCCCTCCTCTGGACCCACTCCAAGAAGTTGACTTGTTATTAGACAGTGCCTTAACATATACCAAAACAGAACAAAACAAACAAAAAAAGACAAAAACACCCAATTAGTTGTGTCTTTGAAATTATGTTATGGGGAGAATCTGCCCCAGCATGGTCTTGAGAAATCAGGAATGACCAAGGACTGTTTTATTTATTTTTTACTTACTGATTTTTTATTTTGCCTCCTGGCTGGTGTCACGGTCCCTTCTTGCCAGCCTTGGCTGGCTGGCTGGAGTCGTAGCCCCTGCCTGCCGGCCTTGGGTGGCTGAATTTGCAGCCCCTGCCTGCCTTGGCTGGCTGGCTGGCTGGCTGGCTGGCTGGAGTCATGGCCCTGCCTGCCTGCCTTGGCTGGCTGGCTGGAGTTGCCTGCCTGCCTTTATTGGCTGGAGTCCTTGCACCACAGCTGGTGTTCTGTTGTCAGGTTTCCCATATTTATAGCTGTTGGCAGAGCGGTGGCTCACGACAGCATAAAGCCATGGCAATATGTGCCTGAGAATGTCCCTTGGCAACTAAACCATGGCTGCATTGGGTGATTGGTTTCTTTGTCCTAAGAGTTGCCCTGTTTGTCCCCACTGGGATTCTGCGGGGCTCCATTTTAAGGCCATTTCTCTATATACTGTATTCTGACCATCCAATTCAAGCCAACTTTTGCCAAGTTAGAACTGAAAACAGCAGATCTTATCATGTACTTCCAGACACATCCCAGCTGCACATTTCATTCCATCTGGGATCTGCCCTCAGTCTGACTAGGTCAGGATTTCTCTCGTGTTCGAATTTTGCTGTAATTCTAAGAGTGAATACTACAACTGGTACCTACGGCTCCAGAGAATTCATAACATGGAAGGACAACAACTCCCAGCAACTCAACT